ACTATGCTTACATGTTTGTATAGGTATAGGTGTGTGGGTACACACACGTATGCATTAATTGTGCTACGTTTGTACCGTGTATTGTACCATACGGTACAAAGGTCTGGACACTACGTGGTAAACTCGCAAGCACAACGCACAGGGTTTATAATTCGACTCATCTTTAATAGAAGGCGGGGGTTATGTAGGATAACGTTTATCAGGAGATGGATTTTTTATAACTTTGAAATTTAAATGTTGATTTTAAATTTAAAAATTGCCGCAGTACGCGTTAGTGCTTTTTCTCATTGTATAATTTATAGGTGCTCTCAGTCGTGCATTTTATGGAGAAGCAGTCCCGCTTTAATGACTTCCAAGCGTATGGGGTTAATATTGACATCTGGCGCAATTGCGGGTAACTTTTGATGAGGACTAATGAATTTCAGAAAGGAAGTTCGGAGAGAAAGGGTGGGAAGGAAAGGGGCAGTGGAGAGAAGGGTTGACGTGAGCTTTAGATGTCGAAAAGAGATTGCGACGAAGTCGCTGAGAGAGAGAGAGAGAAAGAGAGAGGGATAGGACTTTAGTGGTTTTAATCATTGGTGGTGTCAAATTCTGCAATATTTGCGTAGCCGGTTATTCGCGACTGAAATTAATGCAGCTTTTAAATCCGTAGAAAAATAAAAGACAAAATTTATCGATCGGCGAAACCGACTGCTCGATCAATAACAGATGGCATATCGGTGTTCGTTCGTTGTAACATGTACAACATGTAATAGAGTCCTGTCTCTACGTGGACGTGGAAAAAGTTTGGCGGCGCGTAGCGCAACATTAGTAATCCATTGTTCGTATATACCGACTGTAACGTTATAAGCTTTTCGCATGAACACAAATGAAAGTATAAAATATTACTAAAACGGCCCGCGGTGTGATCAAATATGCAAACTCTCTATTTCAGCCGCGCGCTCTGCGACGAATAGAACATTGTTGAAACAAGAATTAAAGCCGCGTCGTGCGCGTATTATTTTTGTTCCGGTGCGCGCGAGACGAAACTGAAGTTCCGCCGGTGTTGCTGTTCCGAAAAAAAGCAGAGCACGAGAGAAAGAGAATCTCGCTGAGAGAGGATATAATTAAAAACTATAGTCCTGCGCGAAACAAAAAGACCGATAACACCCGTCCTGCTCCTAGCGGCTGTTTAAGCAGTTTTGCGCGTAACACACGCCCGGTCGTAGTGCAACGTTCTTTAGCAGTTATGAACATTAATGAAGTGCATTGCGCGGCGGCTTGCCTCTGCGAAAGCTATTAACTCTCCCAGTTCTAACGTCTGTCACAAAAGAATCACTTTCGCCGTCCTTCGTTTCGCGCGCGGTTCGCGTATATAAATATTTATGCGTGAGATTTGACCGAAAGCTCGAACCGCGTCTTTCCACCGGCCCGATATATTCGTCACGCTCAACGCAAATTTAATTTCTGTCAAAACTACAAGCGCACTACGTTTAACGCACGCTCGATCGAAACGCACGAAATCGAAGATGTGTCACTCGCAGTCTGATACGAGGCAACAGTTTCTCGGTAAAATTGAAGTAACTGCAATTACACTGGTTTGGCGCTCGTTTGCGCCGTGTTGCGCACTTCCGCATTCTGAATTCAATTAAGGATTCATATTAGACACTCGCGCCCAGTCCTTCCACGGGAACCGGCCAATGAAATAATAAGGGCCCTCCACTTGAGTCATTTAATATCAAGTACCTCGGGAGTGAGGAGGATACCGTACGAGAAAGTTCCCGCGGAGATGAAGAGGGATAGTTTACACTCTGGGAAGGCGACAAGAGCAGAAAATGCCGCCCGGAGGAGGAAAGATGAAAGGCCAGAGGAGAGAAGTATTAGGCAGAGACTTATTGCTCCAGTAATTACTACTAATAGCCACCCCCTGCTGAGTAGCGAGGGCAAGAGGTGGTGGCTCTACACTATCCTATACTGTGTGGGAGCGCCTGAGAGAATTCCACGTTGGTAAACATCCGGACCATAAATTTTTCCCGGATTCCGTGGAATTTTCGTGCACTTTACGGGATCCTCGTCGACGTTCCACGACACTTCATACTGCGAGGCGTCGGGGATACAGACGAGAGGACGTTATCATGCCGCGGAAATGATGGACCAGCAGCGGGGAAATAAGCCCTCCACAGGGAAGGAGAGAGCCGAAACGCAATAATGATGTGTAGAATTTTACTGATGCGCGATGCGGATGTTTCTATTTCAGCACGCTGACGTTTATCGTGCCCGTATCGACCTCGTTGCGATAATATTCCGTTCCGTTCGTAAATTCATCCCGTAGAATTGTACAATATTGTCTCGCTAATAATTCATGTTGTTTGCGTGTCCCTTAGTCGCGTATTTTGTGAAACTCGACAATTTGCTCCGGTCTATCCACTCGTAAAACAAACACTCTCTGTCGATGTAAAAAGACCATCGTGACAGCGGAAACTGTACGGAAGACAGTGCACAACATAGACACGTCGCATCGATTGCTTAGTGTGTGATTTATGGTCTGACCCTGTCGCGTTTTTATCCCTGCACCTTGGTTGTACGAAGAGTGCATTCGATATAGACTTACGCTTCTATGACACCCAACTTGTTTTTACTCTCGACGGCTATATTCTTATTATTATTATTGTTGTTATTATTGCGTGCAAAGTCAAGCAGAGAGCGAATGCTGCCTTTCTCGGCTAAATACTCGACAGCCTTTGCGCGACGATCTTTGCTTTTCATTACGGCGTACACGTGCGCTGTTTTCGTTTAAATCTGAGCGCCCGCTGTTTCGGCTACGTTCACTGCGAAACAAGGGACTCGGCGCATCGCGCAGTAAAAGTCTAAATCGCGTCCGCCTCTGCGACGAAATCTGCGCGATAACGCTGAGTGGCGGTAGCAAACTCGTTGGACGGAATTGTCGGACGTAGCGAGACATCGAATAGCTCCCACGTGATTTACGGTCTAGTCCTATCAACGCCCTGGCCTTTCGTCGCGCCACCCCGTGCAAAGCCGGAAGACGGGCGTTTCTATGAAATAGAAACATCTTGCTGGGTTCCACGCGGCATAAGCCAACGCTCGAGATATATTTTATGGGCTAACATTTCCCCGACGGTGCCGCCATGTAGAAACACCCGCGGAGGAGTATCTCATACATCAGGGTTGCACCCTGTCTCTTAGCGCAGTGACTCTCCGAAGAAATGACAGCGTCTTTAAACAAGCGTTTATATTGCGCGCGACGCGCGCAGCACGAGGGGAAAAACAAATTTTCCGAGCAGATTAATTGCTTTATCGTCGCGTCGCTTGTGGACGTTCCCTCGTATTTTAACGACTTGCCTTTGTGTCTTCATGAATGAGCCTCGATTTTGCAATCGAGGCGCGGAGATACGTAAACGCGTTTCATCGCGTTGCATAAATCTCGAAGCCTCGCCGTTAGCAGAAAAAAATAAAAAAAAAAGAAAGAGAGAGAACAGCGAGAGATAAAACTTGAGAGTCGCTGCTTTAGTACTTTCCTCCTCCTCCTCATCGTTTGCCCCATTTTTTCCGCTTGCCTCTTCTTTTGTGCTTCTTGTCTTGTTTCATTCATCCTAAACGTACCGCCGGTGTGGCCCCGACCTATCCTACCAGCGAACTCTCCGCCGAGGGCGTCGTCTTTGCGGTCATCGTCACGCGTGTTCTACGTGTTCGAGGATACCTCTCGGTCGGTAGTTCTACTTTACGAAGGTTATCGCGCTTTATTGCTGAGGAAACTCGGCTGAAGCACCCGCTTTGTTGTCCCTTCCGGTGAGCTTGCAAATCATATCCCGCGAATATTGCACCTGCCTTTATTTAGCACAAATTGTGCTTCCGCAGTGGCGGGCTCGCTGTCGAAAAAGGCAGCGCGGGCGGGCAGCGACGCCGTCATTTTGACGGAGACTCCAATTATCGTACAGTAATTTGATGTTTCCGCGACACTCTCGTTGTTTCTGAACTCATCCGCGGACAAGCATTTACGCGTGAAAAAGGGCCGGCCATTCGTCACGCGCGGTCTAATCACATTCGCGATGAGCCTCGCGGGTAACTTGCGAATCGGAGCGTAATACCCTTGCTTTCAGCAGCTAAATTCAGCGCACGCGCGCGCGCGCGCGCGGCTAAATAACATCTTCGATGCAGGCCGCACCGGTAGACGATACTGCGCCTGCTCCGGATCGTAATATCGCTTTAATTATGTGCGCCGTATTTGCGCCGGGTCGCGTTATTAATTTCGGGTCCTCACGCCGAGAGACTTACCGTTACGACCTCGGGGGTTATGTCGGATCCTGCGAACCCTCCAGCAGAGGCACGATGTCGGAGACGTAGTGCGAGGTTGAGTGTGCAACCCCCCAGGATACATGTCTACACGTGCGATGCATCCACCCGGCGCAGCATACGGCTCATCTTCGAGATGTTATTGCGCGAGCGAGCGAGCGAGCAAGCCTGTAGCCTCTCTTCCTGCCGTATGTAAATTATTTTGGCCGCTAAATTAAACAGGCGAAATAGTGTTGCGCGATAAGTTAGCGCGGCCAGAATGCCGCTCGAAATATCCCTGTTCTTGGACGTCCGCTGCGGCTGGAATGTTTGAATTCGCGCCGTTCACGTCGGCAAGAAAGCCGCCGCCCCCGACGCCGTCGCCGGAATTGCGCGTCGCGCGGTAAACTGTCGTGCTTCTGGCGCGACAGGAATAACAATATCGTAGATATTTTGTGGCTCAAGGTCTGTCTTGTGATTTATGGTCAAATTTCTCGATTTTTTTACTCCCTCTGCCCCCAAAAGCCGAGTAGTCGAAAGTCGCAAGAGTGACCGATCATATTTCGATTATCGACGTACTGTGATTTGAGCATTCTTATCGTTGAGACGCCAGGAAGTAAATCTGGAGAAAGAGAGGATGTGACATCGTGTGCTTGTGTTTCGTTGAGCGAAAATGAAATGATCGTTAATATATAAAAATACGAGAATTTTCTAGTTTATTTTCTACTCTCTTTTTTTTTTTTCTTTCTTTCTCCCGTGACGACAGCTCTTAGTTTCGCTTCGAGCGCCGCTTACCCAGACGCTGACTCTGTATATAGCTGTTTAAGCTCTCGCCGTTTATAGGCAACGTCATAAACCAAGCGTGCATAGTTGACCCTCTTCTCAGCGAGGACGAACATTCGTACCATCTATCGTCAATGTCGTTATCGTTGCCCCTTATTTTGATAGCTTACAGTTCGCTTCGATCACGCGAAGGCAGGTCGGGGTTTATTATTTTTCACTGATGTAATTTTTCCTCGTTTTCCAGACAGTTTGGTCGGCCGTCTCGCGGAAAATATCCCCGCGGGTTGCGGTCGCCGTGCAAAATAAATAATCCCTACCGTCGCTTCCGCTTCTCGTTTCGTTCCGCTTCGCGTGTCACGCGTCTGTTCCATTTTTATTGCGGCGAAGCCACCTCGTTACATCGACTCGCATATCTATTTGTTTCTTTGAAATTGTGCGCGCCTTCACTCCGTCTGTCTTTGAGTAAAATGTATAACGCGCGACACGTAATCGTTTTGCCATATCGAAATAATCATGTGACGACGCACTAGAATCGCATATTGGAGATTGACAGTGGAAGCAGAAATAGAGAGTACACGGCGTAAATATAAATATAGAGAGTGAAGAAGAAACGGTGGGGCAAACTTGTCGGCACATATTAGATTTCTGTTTTTTCCCTCCTTACAAACTATATTGAGAACGGGCTTACATGTATCGCTCATATGCATCACTCTTTCCGCAATTTTAAATTAAACAATCGGTAACCTTTGATCTCTTATACGTGAAGCGTAGTCACAGGAAGCTCATCGATAATATAATTATAATATATAAAATATAACATATAACATGAAACTCTGAATAGCGTTTTCAAAGATTTGCGCTTTTTACAAAGAATTATACCATTAAATTATATCGTTGGGTCAGTCGTTTAATTTTTTAGTCAAATTTAACATTATTGCTTTTAATGAAATAAATTACTCATTTATCAAGCAAGTGTTATCATTACCTTCGACAACGTTCTAGACTTGAATTTTTTGACTGACCCGATACTTATCGCTCTTTCAAAAGGATTCAGAAAAGCTTGGCAACGGGACCGCTCCTGGTCCAGTTAGCACCACACGTGGGAGTAACATACGAATATTCTTCTTAATGTGATCGCTAACTTGTGCCTTCTTCAGTAAATATTTCAAGAAAGCTTTAACAAATTCTCCTTGCGTCTTGTATTTCTCAAATGCAAAGTCCTCGTTGTTCTGGAGGAAGTGAGGATTCTCCGCTAAATATGTCACTAGATTGTTGTACGCCAATTTCTCCTGGTACGGCAATCGATCAAAGTCCAACGTTTTCTGAATCATATCGCCGAGTTTCACCTCAGCCTTAACCACGTACACCTGGACCCACATCCATATGATCGGCAGAGCACCCATATCGCTGATCATCACTTTGTCTTTGTAGTATTTAAGCGCTTTCAGAATTCGTTTCTCCAGATGCATATTGCTGGACAATACCTTCTGGATAATTTTACGCAAAAATTCTCCGCGAGACATGGTCATCGGAGGTTTAGCCATGCGCAATTTTTCTAAAAGATCAGGATTGACGAGGAAATCTTGCATCGTCTTTATCATGGCGATCTCGGCGTCGCTTTTGGGTACCGGCAAGGCGTAGGTCAAACTGGTTAATTCAGGCTGCCAGTGACCCGTGGATTCCGACATCATCTTCAAGAGGTTACTCTCAGACACCTTGGTGTTCATCGACGATATTTGAACCGCGTGTATATACAAGTCGATTATGGACTTTAGCGAGGCGTTCGATTGGATCGCTTTAACTTTCTGCAATTTGTGCAAAAGCGTTGTGAAAAGCGCACCTTTATTCGGATACAAGAGTGGTTTGAAATCTGGCCCGAGTATTTCCGTGATCTTCTCGTGCGTTAGGATTCTCTTGAGGACCCGTAACTTCTTTCCGAAAGCGTCGTCCTTCGGCAAGGTGGGCAGTAAATCGGTGTAAGGATCGGACGGATTGATCGGTTGTAGCCATGTTGTAGGATTGACGAGAGGAATGGTGACAGTGTCGGATGAGCTGTCGTCAGGCGGGTTTTCGCTGATTTCACTATGCGTAAGGTCGTACGGATTGAACGTGGAATACACGACATCCGATGTTAGCCTCTTTAACGAAATGACGATGGGCAGGAGTATAGTCGGACAGACGTATTCCATACCGGCGATGTACTCGCGAATTGAGCTCATCAGCTCCGGCATTTTCGCCACTTGTGGATGGTTCTTGGCTCTTTTAAATAACGCCGTCAGCAAGGCGATATTCGTGGGGTAAAGTCTCGGGTTCACGTCCTTCAGGATCTTGCTGATGTAATTCTTACCGAATATGGCAGACAGTGGCCGTAGTACGCGCGTTGCTATCGGTGTGTCGACTTTCTCGAAGAAATTGTCTACATCGGGAGATTTGAGAAGTAGCTGGATTTCTGGCAGAACAATTTCAGGTTCTGTACCGTCGTGACGCTCATCTGTCGTTACAACGGGAACGCCATTATTGGACAGTTGTACCGCGAGAGGACGATTGGGTTTTATAAGCGGCGGCAATACTATCGCAGCTGATATATTTCCAGAGACCGACGTTTCTTCGAGCGAAAGTTTCGGCGCGGTGTTTTCAGATATTTCTTCGGACGACTCCGGAGACATGGAGCTATAAGGTGCAATATGTGTCACATGTTCGTAAAGTTTTCCCGGTTTTAATGCGTGTTTGGGGATTGGCGGTAGTATATTATAAGACGATTTTCGCGATGACTCAATCATTTCTGGAGCATGAGAGTATTCAGTCTCGAAATTAAATTCTTCCGGAATACTTTCCATGGTTGTTGTGTGACGCGTCGTGCTGTAGAAAGTCTGAGGAGACGTCGAGTGGAGTAACGGGCTTAAGATAGCAGGTTCTTTCGTTTCCACGGACGCAGTAATTGTGGGATTTTCTCGTTCTCGTTCAGTCGACTTCTCCTGCGTGTGGGGACCCATTTCGCCGATATATTTATTTACGTTCCATGCATACGATACGTCTAGTTTAGTTATCATACTATTCACATCATTCATCATAGTTGGATTCTTCGGGCCCATATTATAGAAATCTACATTCTGCGGCACCATGGAATATTGCATGGAAAATGTGTGTGTTTGCACGGTTGTTTGCAGAATGTATAGTACATTTTGAATCTTCGTTGCCAAGGTTATAGGCAAGTGGGCGTGCAATCTTTGTATCTGCTGGAACGTATTTATCAGGCATTGCCTGGCTGTTAGGCATTTATCTTTCTCCGTTGGTATCAAGGTGCTCAGAAGCACGGACATTCGTGGATGCGAAGTCAGCTCGAGTTTGATGGAATCCACTAATTTTGGAAGCATCGGATTTAGATCGGGATTCCTGAGAGATTCCAAAAGTATCAGTATATCAACTTCGGGCGATACAAAGGGCGTGAAAGTCCGGACGTGCTTCTTCATGATTACAGCTGAAAGCAGAGCTGCAGCCGGCTGTAGAATCTCTATTTTCGACGCCGGAATGCGATTCAATATTCTCGTTAGGAACGCCATAAGAAGATCCAAGGGATTGTCGTAGCCAAATCTGTTGAATCCCTTGACGGCTTCATCCAGATCTTTATTCCTGTAATTCTGCATGAAGTACCTCAGCAGATGATCCTTCATGCGGATTGCATCCTCATCGAATTCTTGCGGAACAATGGCTGAGAGCAATAGTCCCAAGTCCAAGTCTTGTTTAATCAGGTTGTACGTATACTTAAAGTTCGGATTATCGTAAATCGAAGGAGTGATCTTCAAGTGATTGTACACGTAGACTGCTGCGTTTTTTACCGCGGTATCTGTGCTTGGATTGTTAAGAATCTTGGAGAGCACAGAAAACACGAGCGTATAGGCATCCTTGCCGACGGGATCATTTCCGATGAAATCCCAGTTTATAATAAGATTATTTCCGGTCACTTCATATAGATATCTGATGTTCTCTTCGAGTACAGGATCGTCGTTAGATGTTGGTAAGTTCATCAATATCAGACCGAATAGTTCCTGCGACAGAGATCCGGTGCTTGTGTGCAAAATATGAAGGAGTTTCGCAAACATCGGACCGAGGGCTTTCTGAGTGATGTTTGAATATTTATCGTGCTCTCTTAATTCTTCTTCAGTATCTTTTGTTTTACTTTGAACAATCGAGTCCCGACTGATATTGGCTAAGTAATTGAATCTCTCGGATTTCGTTGGCCGTAGCAATACGTTCAAATTGATTTTCTTCAATTGTATCTCGCCGATGAGGAATTTAGCCGTACACGAAAGATACGGCGGAAGATTTTCTATCATTGACGACAATACGATCTTTGTCTGCTGATTCTTGTCCTTGTTTTCTAATTTAGGCAGAATATGCAACATGTTGTACACATGCACCATCCTTTTTCTCAGGATATCATAAAGCATGTGCAAGGATGCATATTGTTCTTCCGTCAATCCATTCTCATGACCGTACAGTAAGTACGAGAAAATGTAACGTATGTTTTCACGGAGTGTCACTGACAGTTTCAACTTTTCTATTATTTTTCTGTTCTTGCCGCCTTCCGTTAACGGAGAATTTGGTTTGTTCATATATTTCTGGGCTGGCACTGGACCCAACGATCTGCGCACGACTTCGAAGTCTGAAAGAGCAAGAGCCAGGCCATCCGAAGTATTGTCATCGTGGCGTTTGTGTCCAACCCCCTTCCCAGTTTCCTTAAATAAGAAATTTGATTACTGATTATGCGATTTATACTGACGACAAATTTAACAATTATAACAATTATACATATAGATTTCTCGTAGCTGTTTCATTTACTTTATCCTGAGATTCTTGCGTTATCACTTACTGTCTTTCTTGATTCCGGACGTCGTTTGTCCTGAAAGAGAAAAAAATTAAAATTGCTATTTCACCATTGATAGCAGCGATTCCACTTTTTATTTCTTTAAATCGCAATATTTACGTAACTATCATCTTAATTAAGATCTCAATGCTCTTTCGTCATATGGTTAATAATTTAAATTACTAATAACTCGTGAAAATATAACTTACTATGGAGACTGCACACGTCACAAGCGTTATTCCAGTTACAATAAAGACAGTTAGAGTTATTGCATTGATCACCATCATGTTATACAACGTTACTCTCGAATGAAATTAAACGGAGGCACACGAGGTAATCGATTGCCGTTTACATATATAATATACATATACATACATATATGTATATATATTCCTACATACGCATAAAACCGTTTCACATTACACAGTATTTCTTTATAAGCAAGTTGCGTCACGCAGCATACCACAAAGACTGAGGTAAGCCGTAACGAGGGCGGCGCCTTTATATGGAACAACAATCGAATTGACATGGTTAAAATTATGCAGGTGTATGTACGACTACGGCTGAGAGCGAGTAACTCGGCAAGAGCATGTTATTGCTAACTGATAATTAAATTTTACTGTTCCGTATGGGTCAGCGTTCCCCTCCTCCGCCGTTTCTTCAGCCTCTCTCGGCTCGAGCTGCTGCTCCGAGCGAGATGAGAGATACGGCTGTTTGATTTATTATTGTTGATAACATCTTTAAAACGACGGTGTGTTACTTATGCCATGTTATCGTTACATTACTGTGTGTTATATCGCTACCGAGAAGAGAATATTATTTCTAATTTCATCGACGAATGTTATTCCGTCGTATTATTATCGTTCCTTTTCTTTTCTCTCTTTTTTTTTTTTTCTACGTCTGTACATGACGTGAATTTTTCCCAAGTTGGATTATACGCTACGACAGCATTTAAATCATTGGATAACGTGTGATTAGGAAAACGCGCGTTCGCAATATCGCAACACGTGTCATCCTTGTCGCGCGCATAACAAAAGATATACTACCCAGTTTGACACATGGGTAAAAAAGAGTTGGATAAAAAAAGAGACCGCCGATCGCGCAAGATAGGCAACAAAAATATCTGATGCAGTACTGCGCTGCAACTGCGTGCACAATAAAAAGGAGTATTGGAAGGATACAAAAATACTGGATCAGTTCGCGTGAAAAATTCGCTCCATCGAAATACCGCGCTTCAGGGAATTGCCATTCGTGCTTCAAATTTCCGCTTTCTCCGTCGTCGGGTGCGAATTGTTTTCGATACCTTTACCGAAGCGCTAGCCCGACCGTGCCATGAGTCGATCGAAAGCGCGCGCGCGCGCGAGAGAGAGAGAGAGAGAGAGAGAGAGAGAGCGTATGTTAAAACAATGAATATTTTCTCTTCTCGATTTTATATATACTCGTACGAATTGGAGCGTGCTAGCGCGAGTTAATAATCGTTATCATCAAAACGTTCCATCGGGACCGTACGAGACACGACAATGCGACGTCCGTTCCAGTCTCGTAAATGCGCTCGGCGATGCGCTCGGAAGCGCCGAGCTTTCCTGCGCCCCTACGATTGAGCGGAGTATATTTTTACTTGCCGGCCAATAAAACCGAAGCTGACAATCTGCTGTAGCCTGTAACAAATGGCAACAGATAACGGCCAACCGAAAGGGTCGCGCCGTCGTGAACGATAAGGCGGCGGGACAGTGACGAATAGGCCTTCGTGGCAGTTCCGCGGAGCTTCCGCAGCTGCAATTCCATCGACGATGCAGTCCAAGCCGGCGGCTACTATCATACACGTACCGGGGCAATTCCGATAGGCGATCCATTATCTTAAGCGGCGTCGAGCAATCGATTCGCGCCGCCCGCCGCATCTCGACCGAGCGCTTTTTTAGGTTCTGCCAGGACCTTCGCTTCACAACGGCTTCCCCTCTTCCCCCCCCCCTCTCTCTCTCTCTCTCTCTCTCTGTCTCCCCCTCTCTCTCTCTCTCTCTCTCTCTCTTTTTCCTTCTCCCTGCTTCTCCCTTTTTTGCGCCGGTCGTTTCTTTTATTTTCGCACGCGCGTAAATTTTTGAATCAACTCGTGAAACGCGAGCGCGCGAGCACTGCATATTGCGCTTCTGTGTTACTTGCATCGCAAGGTCGACCGGTCGAGATTGAAGGTTGGCCGATGCATACGGATACACAACTGCGCGAGGAAGTTAAAAGTGCGCTCACGCGCGCGCGTGTTTTTAGGAAGGCAACGTTTTTCTCTCGGGTTTTCCCGCGAAAGAATGAGTCCTATTTATCCGCGGAGATTAATGACGTTGTTTGTTAACGATGGAATAGCTCTCCGTGAGATACTCGACGTTTGTTTGGAAAAATAGGATGGAGGTGGGTGGCTAGGGCTACGGTAGGGGGGGGGGGCGGCGAGGAAGAATCGTGTGTAATTAGGATTCTACGTAAAATACGGAGTTTTGAAGCTCCTACCGCAGCTACTGTGCTTTCGCCAAAGCTTCGCGCCACGATGATAAAATTAATTGGAGTAAGCAATTTAGGGCGCTCGAACCTTCAAGGCTTTATCGGAAATTAAGCGAAACAATGGCGAAACTGCTTCGCAAAGGGTGTCTCGCCAGGCACTGTGTGCGTGCCATTAATTCCTAAGTCTGCTTTGAGCAGCGTCGAGTTGTCAATATATACGACATCCGCGCAGTGGTCTGCTTTCGTCGGAAAAGCATGCAATTTGCGTCTGAACGTGAACGCTACATGATATGACGCTCCGCGAGCGTTCGAATCGTACACTCACCATTTCGCGTTGATATCCAGCGACGTCCAGCCGTCCGGATCCACGGTGAGGATCCAGCGCTGAAGATATCCCGACTGCCTCGCTGCACATCCGCTTTTAGCCTCCAGTCTGCTCGGCATCCAGCCGTCGTCCCACGTCGATCGCTTTTTATCCACTTTGCCGTGTTACACTCGCGGTCGCGATCATTTTAACGGCGCCCGACGAACAGTACGCGATAAGTTCGAGCACTTCGCGGATGCACTTACGAGTCGCGAGTTGCGCGTAAGGGAAATCATGCGTCAGCGGTTTCGGTGCTTTCGGCGTGTGAACAATTTCTAAATCTCCCGATATGGCATACGCACAATTGCTCACCCGAGAACTACCCTCTTTGTGACCAGAGGGTCACAAACGCTGGCAGATTCGAAACAGAAGTTGAGTATTTTTAGGAATCAATAGGAACGTGAAGTATTAATCGTCTTCTTAAAATTTATATCGATATGCTTGTGTAAGCGTTGAAGATCGTTACACGTTTATTCCTGGTTTAATTTCTGCAAGGTTTGTTATCCTGTCCTAACTATTATCGTATTATACATATTCCTGTACTATTATTATACATATATAATGGGCCTTTTCCTTTTGTTCTTAATCCATAGTCTCAAAGATCGCTCTGCCCTCCTTGTCTTGTCGGGTATTGATTTTCTGTCATCGCGAGTACGATACGATCGACAAACTAATTTTAGCGCGAACGCGCGACAATACGGTACATGAGTATCGCTGTTTAGACATACACTTGTCGAGAGATAGCGATTGATAGCGTCTCGCTGAATAAATCTTGCGCCGTAAACAAAACAAGAGGAAAAATAATCTGTCAGTGCAAATCATCCCCCGGTGCTAACAATGATATGGTTTATCGCGACGAATTTGTTAGAAATTCGTATCTCGATGAAACGGTGCTTTTGATCGTTTTGCAGAATTGAAGATAAATTCCGGAGCTAGGCGTTTACGTAGATATTTTTATCTATTCCCCGGATAGCAACCCAATTGGACGTCGCTGCCGCGCTATAAATTTCGCCGCTCGATTGCGAGAACCGTTTTTGGAGATTACGATTGATAGACGTTTGCCGGAACTTAAGCTCTTGCGATACTAAAAATTCCACGAATTTTTACGAATGTTTTATGCCCCAACTTTTCGCACAAGGCGCTCCCGCTGACCCGGATGACGCTTTTTATGAGGTCTAATCAACTTTCGCATTCCTCGCGACGTATGAATTGTAATAATGAAACTTGCGTCGAAATTGCTCCGAGCTCGGTCGGTTACAATGGATTATAATAACTTCGCTTCTCAGGGTGTCGGTCTCAAATCTCTTCGCTAATTAAATTAGGATGTAACCCAACCTCAAAAAGGATAGAAAAGGAGACTGGTGTTGCGGCCGAGATAAAACAAATGAGACGGGAGCCACGTAGATCGCGCGCGAAGAAAGAGAAAGTTAGAAAACAACAAACGTTTTCCACATGATCCTCCGGGCAACCTCATTGCAAACGTTTATTCAGGTCCGCGCGCACACACGCAGTCGCACAGGCAAACGCACGTACAGCTGCACACAGTCTTTATTATCGCGGCGGTTAATTAGCGTGAATAAACATATCGCTCCGCATATTACCTCTTAAGTAAGCCGGAAGATTAATATGACGAGAGATTAACTACCGCGCGCGGCCCCACCGCGGTGTTCTTTCTTCGCGCCGTAATATCGCTACTATTGTACTATTGTTGCGCAAGGAGAAAATGTAACGACTCACCGGGGAAGAAATACCACCGCTCGACCACCCCAGCCGCAACTTGAGTTCTCACAGTATTCTCACTGAGCTTTTCTTGCTTTCTTTCCTTCTCCGCAGGATGCGGGAGTATCGCGCCGAGATCCACCTGGGGGAAAGTCGCCACCATGGGCTACGCCAGTCTCGGGATACCTTTGACCTTGGTCTACTTATCCAGCGCAGGTGGACTGTTGTCGAGATGTGCCCGAGGTGTCTTCACGCGAGCTCTTTGCTGCTGCCTCTGCTCGAATTGCGGCTACTGCTGCTACGACGAGAGGCGAATGCAGGTTAGCGACGAGGCGCAGCATATCCGACTGAAAATTTTGTGCCGCTGTCCGATAAAAAGCTTAATCGCAAACTGCCAGTATGACGCTCTTTTTCCCGTTGAACAAACCGGATGTACGTGATGAGAAACGCATATGTCGCGTCGCGTCGCGTCGCGCATCGAGTCGAGTCGATAGCGTTGCCTAGCGCAAGGACGTACGTATCCTGCACGGTCGATAAGGATTAATGGCTATCCAAGTATTGATTGGTTATTGTTAGAGCGCTATTCAAATAAAATTGGATCAGTCTTCGTAGCTACTGACACTCAATACTAGAGTGCAAACGATCGGCATTTGCTCAAAATTGTCGCGACGCGGACGAACAGTATTGGAATACGCGTGTAAAATGATCGCGAGCGTACCGCTCCGAGAGTGCAGGCGTGAAAAACGAGTCTCTCTCTCTCTCTCTCTCTCTCTCTCTCTCTTTCTACATTCGAATGTTTTTCATGCGTGTAGGAGAAAGAGCGGCGAATGAGAAAGAAACGGCAACAGGAGGAGCTGGCGCAGCAGCAGCAGCAGCAGCAGCTACAACTGCAGGAACCCTTTTACGTTCGCGCGAATGCATCGACGTTTACAAGCACCGTGGAAATTAAGGCCAGCCCGAAGGACGAAGTATCGAGCCTCGGCTCGGGTGACAGACCCAACGTTACCATATTCGCGCCGATTAGTATTTGCCTTGGCGCGATGCTGTGCTACATCGTCGCCGGGGCATTCACTCTACACAAATTGGACGGCTGGTCATTCGTAGGTGAGTTTCTCTTCGTGTTGAAGAAAAATGTTCTCGTCGGGTTGTTGAGTGTTGCTAGTGTTGCTCTCGGCGTGCATTTCGTTAGTTTTCTCGCATACGAATGTGTTCGCGATGAATTTGTCCAAAGTGCCGGAAAGAAACTACCGTGATTGTATCGCCTTGATGTTTCTGACAATTTGGCGCAAACACTCTGACGTAACCGTAATGTATAATACATATATATATATATATATATATATATATATATGTACATGTAGACATGAGAGTTGTGTCACACGTGACGAAGGCTAACGGGGCGCTTCTTTCATACCTAGACGCGAGCTATTTCTGCTTCATGAGCCTGAGCACTATCGGTTTCGGCGACATGGTGCCTGGTTCTTACCCCCGACACACCCTCGCCGACTCAAGAAACGTGACGGTCTGGTTTTGCTCTTGCTACATAATGTCAGGAATGGCTCTGACAGCGATGTGCTTCAACATTCTGCACGACGAGATCGTCCATCGACTAAGTCACCAGCCGGACAAGCCGGAGCCGGTGAAGCCGAGCGCGTCTGTGGACGAGCTATCGACGGACCCCTTCGCGCTGACCTCGTGACAATTTCCGTCGGGCAATCTGTGCCACAGGAACGGCACCGACGAGAATAATATATGTGGCACGGAACCACCCACCAATATATTCGCTCACGAGAACGAGATCAACATCCTGAAGGACACCTTCAATCAAGTGGATGTCACTAGAGACTGCAAGCCGATCCTGAAGCTCGAAGATCATGTTCCGCCGTTATCAGCCGTTTATATGTTGCCCAAAGTGGACGAAGAGGCTGAGGAAAATACGGAAATGTAAAACTTCGGCGTGCCTCGGCTGGAGGCCGGATCGGGTTCAATCAACTAGGGATTATCTAACAGCATTTTTACGGATCGTAACCAGATGAATAGGTATATGTAACACGTTGTATATGCTAAACCATACTGTCAAACCGCGACGATGATAAGATGTTTTGTTGAATTTGTCATTAAAGTTGGATCTACAGTTCCTACAACAGAAAACGTAATGATTTGGACGGAAATGTAGAAAGGTAGATACATCCAAGTTTCTTTTTCTATCGAAAAACAAAAAGAGAGGAAAAAGAGAATGTAGTTTCAGAGGAGTTTTTACAAACTTAAAACTACAAACTTTTTTTTTGTATTATTATCTAATATTTTACACTAGAATTATTCATTTTATAAAATGACCATCATCCTTGTTAAATTTATTTTTTGGATTAAATGGATAAATGACTGTTATCACGATTTTTGTATCACGCAATATACAAATTTACGTGTTTCTAGATCCAACGATTAATAATAGAATCACCGGTACACCTTCATTAACCAAAGAGCATTGATGAACGTATACAATACATCATCTGGGACACATTCAAAAAGTTCAAGAATAAACAAGTGCTTAAGTCGTGGACGCAAGTAGGACATCCTCTTTGAAATCGGTATAGCAAGATAGCTTCATTTTCGCCCGCATTATAAAAACGATATGAAGCCACGCTCTCATGGCTCACTCTTATATTGGCGCATAATTGCATTTTAATAAAATTCCGATCTCATGATTCGATTAATATGATCTCGATTAATTTGAAAATTATAGTTTTTTTTCCTTTTTATTAAAACATAGCAGTTCATAATTGTACTTTTTAAATTAATATAATCTCCAAAATGAAAACAAAAGATGTTTTTTCAATTTCAGAAGCCATCTCGAAACTTGTGTCTTGTTCGTAATAACATATTTATCAGAACAATATAAAACGTCGCTGCTGATATTTTCGGTTTACGTAAAAGCATAAGGGCTTTAATGAAAAGTATGATATTCAGTACATAACCGTCATATTTGATAAATACGGTAATAGCATTACGTAAGTTCTAAGTAAGATGGCATCAAGATTGGTAAAGTGTTTCCTAAATGTCGTCGGACATTCTTGAACTTCCACCAGACGTTACCAGGTTAATCTGGAAGTGTCCTTAATAAATGTTTGCTGAATGTTGGTGGAATATGAAGCTACCGCTTTCGCAAAAACAAAATGTCACGTGTCGGAAAGATTAATGCAAATAACGTTGTCAAAGTTCTCTTCGTGTTAAATACACGTCAAATTACGATTACGAAAGACAACAAGTGTCCATGACCAAGTAGTGCGCCGGAGAATGCAGGTGCGATGTTTGAAGTTTTACTGCTCGTGAACGCGATGCGTCGTCTTCCGTCGTGTAGTTTCAAGTAATTTGGATTAATTGGAGGAATCACGAAAAGAGTAAAATCCCAGAAACTGGAAAGCCGCGTGTAATCTTCATTGCAACCCGGCCGCGTACCGGCATTAACGACAGGAAATTACGTTTACGTCGTCGATAAAACGAATAGAGCAAATGACCGGCATAAAATAATTTCCCAAGGGGCAATGGTGCATTTCATTCGCGGCCGTGTACGCTCTTCGTGCATGGAAATGTTGAAACTCTCTCCTTTTATTTCCCCATTTTCTTTATTCATCTCACGTACAGCCGTTGCTTTCCAAGAAAGCTTCGGGATCGGCTGCAAAGTTGATGTTCCGTCGATACAAATAAATGCCTTAAAAAACAAGGTGTCTTAAGAGGTGTCAAGATTTCGAGCGCTGCAAGGCGCTGAATGTGAATCTGCAGGAACGACACTACATGCAAATATGAGTGAGAAAGTACACGATTCATTTTGTCGCGGGGCAGATATCGTTTCCACATATAGAGTGTAATGTAATCACAAGATAAAAACAATATCCGGCAGCGATCTTTCAGCGAATTGACATATCCTTGAATAATAGCGTTATAGTTCCTCAAAGTGAATCACGCACGGCGGCACGGAGAGGCGGGGAGAGTCTTTTCTGAAATTAATTTCCGATAATGCCGGACTTGTGCTTGACATCGATTCCTTGGCAAGCATGTCACGAGCGAAATCAATCCAGATGTTCGCGCAGATGTCAAGTGTAGCTCACCTGCTTAATATTCAATGAGATTTCGAGGACGTCCTGGCTTGCGGACGGAGACCGACTTAATGTTTCTACACGCCTATTTAGATAGGGACATGTAAGGATTTTTTATATTTCCATACATTTAAGTATTCGCGCAAAATAAACGCGTTCTTGTCTGTAATATAATTAAGCTATCGATCCTTGCGTCTAGCTCAGGATGGATCAACGGATGTACACGTACACGGTCAGTCGCGCAAGCGCGCGTACATGTTTATCGAACGATCCGTCATTCCGTTTCTTACGTCCGCGCGATTCTACCGAACTGTAAGTTCAATCACACACACTGCCGTACACGGAAATCCGCGTATAAATAACGGCCCCCGGTTGTCGTTGAACAAGGATCATGTTGCCTAAATGGATGAGCAATATCTCAAGTGGGGAATAATCCTTTAAACATACCAATTATTTGCACGAAGAAAGAGAAAAAAAGAGGAGCGGAAGGAGAGAGGAGAGGGAGAGGGAGAGGGAGAGGGAGAGGGAGAGAGAGGGAGAGAGAGAGAGAGAGAGAGAGAGAGAGAGAGAGAGAGAGAATTTATGTAGAATATTTAGTTGCGATTTCAACTGGGCAAGCGAAGAAAAGCGATCGTTTGATCAGCGATAACTGTAGCAGGTCTTGTAATACTGTAACGATAATAAGCAATGTGTTGTTTGTTATACTGCCAGTGGCTGGACATTAGAATCAAATGAATGAAATCAAATTCTGTGCTCAAGAACAATAACTAAGGTACTTTACGGATAGGCATTAATCCCGAAGAATGTTGCGTTTAGAACGTCTGTCTCCGTTCTTTCGTACTAATATTCGAATAGGCCACGGGAAAAATGCGTAAGCAAAGCATAGCTGTGAATTAGCTATTAACGATTATTTTCGCTGCGTATGGGGCAACCTTTGCGCGTGGCGATTGATGTTATAAGCGCGTGCCGTATTTAAGTTGCTACGTTAAAGTATATTCTTTACATATCCTTTCACGCGAACATAAGTGGTATAATTTATATATACATATAAATATATATATATATATATATATAATATATATAACCCAATATTGAAATAAAATATTAGAATAAATTATATGTTAAATTAACTTGTATTTTCTTATAACCGGTCAAATTTCCTTTACTGATGTGCGAGAACTGTGCCGTACCGGCGCAAAGCCTGCCCCGCGTGACGCAAAGGAGCGAGATAATCCCCGTAGCGAGAGCTGGTGAATGTCCCTTCTTCTGTTTCTTGTAACATATCATATGGTGTAAGGGAACTTGTCGCGGCCGTCTCTTCGCTCACGAGCGATCGCATGTACGTCGTCTCGATATTAAAAGCGCCGAGCACGCCGTTGATAAAGCGATAAAGCCCAACCGTGCAACTAACAGGCGAGCGAATTTCGTACGGTGTCTAATGACAATCGATACTGGCTTGAGCAGTTGCTAGAGTTATCGTTATCACTCCGTCGGTGATTCGATGGAGGGTCGTGGCCGGCAGCCAAGACAAACTTTACTTTGGTGCTCGTACCAGGCCATCCAGCCATCGATCCAACCTACCCGCCCGTACAAACTTCCTCACACTCGAGTTCGAGTCGAGGCGAACGCGCTCGCTCCAAGCTGGCGCTACAGCGATTTGTTGCGAGAATCTATTTACAACTTTCCATACGTCCTCGTGTACGCGAGGAGTCGTGCAATAACTGCTAGCGTGTCACGATCGCGAATGCCGAAGAAAATGCTTAAAACTTGGCCACCGTATCTTTTTTCTTCCCTCTTTTTCCCTTCTACTTAAAAATAAGACACTCCGGAAGGGAATACGAAATATGAGGCTGATATTTTGTACATAAAATACTTGATGAAATTTTTCTTAATATTCTCGCGCACGGAGTTTTCTCTCTCTCTCTCTCTCTCTCTCTCTCTCTCTCTCTCTCTCTCTCTCTCTCTCACATACACACAGAAAGGTTTCTCTTTAATTCGTGTTATTCCGGATCGCTTTTAATTCTTTCACGAAGTTTCCTTTCATGATAATAGACTCATTTACGCGGCGAACTTGCGAAACGAATTAAACTTGGACTTTTGCACCGCGGATATTGAGTTTGTTATATACGTAAGTGGATTTCACTGGTATATTAAACTATATATCGCGTATATATATATGTATGTGCTTTTTGACATCTCATTAGCTTGTTGGAGGAGTTAAAGAAATCGAAATTATATTCGATCCTGCATCTTTCATCTCAATTGACTGAAAATATATGTTTTTTATATCCTTTTTTCAATTTCATTTCCTCTATTGTTAATATTCCCCCCGCTTGTGTGTCGGTAGAAATGTATCTCTTTGAATGTATCGCTAAGACGAGTTATCTTTGTGTTTGTTGCTTATCGCATCATTACCGTCACAACAGATTGTGGGTAGCGATTTTTTTTTATGCCAATATATAACGCCTTCTATAAGCTCAGGACGAGGTCCCAGCGCGGCAAAAGTCCAAGTCGGCTTCTCTCTTTTCACAGGATTTTCTGTCCTACGTGGCTCCTCATCTTTCGTCCTTACGTTCCGGTTTCCTCTGTCGTACTCCAGGGAAATATAACCGAGTTCAAAGCTCTCGACGGTCGGCACGAAACTTTAGCGCGACAATTTTGCACAAGAAATATCCAATGAAAGTCAAACGCCACGGGATTTAGCTTCATCGGTGCGTTTCGGCCTTGGAGAAAAAAGGCAAGGGAGGAAGAGGGTAAAGCAAAGTCAGCCCGACCTTCCGGCGGCCGACTTAATGGAATTAATAGGAGTTGGGGATTTCTTCTGTCGCCTTATCTTTACATATTCATTCCATACGTGAGTTAGCCTGTACGAATTGTCGAATTTTTGAGAAACTTCAAAGAGTTTGAGTCTACGTTTTCTCTGGTGTTTAACTTCGCCTCTGTCGGGACAATTGATGTTTTTGCTGTCATTATCATTTCAAGAAACCTGGGCAAACTGCTGGCAAATTAATTCAAGCTCACTTCTCACGGAAATGGCAATATTTGATGAATGTGATTTTTTTGTCAAATATTATCCCGTTTTCATTGCAAATCAAGCAAATATTCGGTTGAAGATTATTTACCGACCATTTTTACAAGAATAAGACAATGATTTTAATACAATATTTGGTTCGGGGCAAACATCAGATAAGTAAATGTTTAAGATCCGGATGAAAAATCATTGTCGTTACCTGTGCAGCGAATGTCGAAGAGAAAGAAGAATTGCAGAAGGGAAAATCTTGGAAGAGATATCCTAGAAGAGAAATCTTATTTAAAAATACCTGAATTGTAACTTGACGTCAACTCTACTTCCGTAACAAATTAACAAATCAGCGATATTTGTTTCCACAATCCTTTCATATCTCGAATTTTATACGAAATTGTCTACTAAGTAATGTTTCAACACAACACGCGATTATATATATATATATTTATAATATAATTTTCCGAATGTATTCTTTTTTGTTCGATTACGTTAAAATGGATTCACGGTTATTTCGTGTAAAATTCACATGGAATAAATTTACGCAAACTTTCCATACAACTACTTTTTCAAATGTGTCATTGCCTTTCATAAGATAAGACTCAAGTCAATATCTCTTACCCGGATTATTTGCTTTAGTAGTGTCAATATTCAGAGATTTGGGTACTTGATTGCCACTCGGATACCTGAATTTTTTAAAATATTTCTTGAATTTTTTAACTAACCGAGCCCTACCCGAGAGTACCTAGGATATTGACATGACTAGAAGAAAAATCATCGAATGAGGCCGTTATTCATAAAATGAATATATCGATACCGATGACGTTAATAAAAGGTCACTTGTACATAGCATTAACATGTGATTATGCGATAACATTATATTAGTATTTACTGTTAGAACATCAAGTCTAATTATTAGGGTTGTATTCATGGCTCGCCTGTCGATCGCTTTTACTGAGAAGAGGCTCACAGTTGTAAATACGATATTGTATTAGGTATTATCTACGTGAATGTATATGTGAGAAGTCTCGTTAGGCATTATTGAACAATATAATTTGTGTAATTTCCATTATTGTAATAATGATTGACATTGCTTGTTTTGGAAACAATTCTGTTAAGTGAAGGTTTTATATATTACTAACGTATATAAAAAATCGAATCAGATCGTTTAATTTAGTTTATCAATGGACCATGACAGAGATATTATATCTGTGTGTTTATTTTTTAAATAAAAGTTCGAGTATATTCATTTCCATCGTTTTTTTTTGTCAGGGAGATATGTATAAAAATCTTTATACAAGATATATCTCCATTTTCCAAATAGTTTCATCGCAAGAAATGCTCATCATTAAAGTTGTCTAAAAATATTGTAATAAAAAGTGATACTATTTTTTCTCCTAGAGGATTGATGATGAAGTTATATTTAGAAAATTTTAAATAAATAAATAGTTTGGAAATTTCTAAATTATCGTATGGATTCCGAAAAAAAGACTAAACATAAGAAGCTCGTTAAATTATGAACAGAGCGACAGTAACCATTCATTGCTCGGATCGTGAATCATCTCACATAATTCTTTGCTCGGACAAAAAAGTCCTGATAAATGTCTGATCCTTTAAACTTCGCGCGCGTCATCGATCAAAACAAAGTTTTCTACATGCTTATAGCGACCTGTTGTGTCTGCGAATTAATAATATTTAAAGTTTTCTAAGGATCGCATTTCTTAAGCGATTACAGATTTTCCAAAACGAAATCAGATACGAAATTAAAAATTTCCGCCTCGACGTAGCTTGATAAACAGTAATTGCAACGCACAACTTTTTTCAAGTTATATAGGCAGTCGAGTGAATCGATTTGGATCCTTTATGAGATATCTGCGAGATGTGACAGGTTAAGACGCAAAAAAAGATATGTAGGTGATTACATCTCGCGTCCACATATGTTGTGTACCAAAATTAAAGTCTTATTAATATTTTGTAAATATTTGTGAAAATATAGAGGAGGGGAGAGAGAGAGAGAGAGAGAGAGAGAGAGAGAGAGAGAGAGAGAGAGAGAGAGAGAGAGAGAGAGAGAGAGAGAGAGAGAGAGAGAGAGAGAGAGAGAGAGAGAGGATGTGTGTGTGTGTGTGTGTATCTAGAGAGAAAGAGAGAGAGAGAGAGAGAGAGAGAGAGAGAGAGAGAGAGAGAGAGAGAGAGAGAGAAAGAGAAATGAATAAGCTGAAGAATTTTGGCTGATAATATTGTAAAATATAGAGTAAACGATTTACTGGATATTGTACGTCTGTATAATCATTTGTCAAGCAATGTATCCTTAAATAGAAAATAATAAAAAAATCTTATCAAAAGCACCGTGTTATTATCGTATATACGTTGATTATTAAGATTGACAAAATTTCAAGAATTAATAATACGTGGATAACTTTTCTTCGAAACATTAATCGTCAATGTGTTTTCTCGTGTTCGTCACGATGACGATGACCTTGGCGAAAATTTATTTGACCAATTTCTATGCTGTGCGCTAGAATGAATTAATCAACGTTCTGATCTTCGGCAATACTATGCGTCAGCGCAACGATGTGTGTCTAATCGTTAATCTTTATTCACCGTTTTATTTACTCGCATATAGATTGCGAATAATATACTACGAACTCCCACGGACAAATATAGATGTCTTTTATAGGATAAATATAAAAGAGATTCGCTTCATTTTAGCTTGATTTCGATAGAAATACACTGTTAACAAATTTGCAAAATACGAAAATATAAAAAATCAATTTTTACAAATCATTAGTTAAACCTTAAACTTAAATCTCAAATTTTATCAAATATTTACTACATTATCCGATACCTTTATTAATAAAATAAAAAAGTTAATTTTTTAATTTCGGTGCACACAAAAATGATTTCTTGTAGCAATGTATCTGGCTTGCGATTCTAATTTGCAGTGCAAATTATAATGAATTTATGAAGCATATATATTTCGGAACTGTCGGGACCTAATGACACAATGGAATTGAAATTAACGATCTCTATCTTTTATCGGCATAATTCTGTACAAGTTGATATGAGTCATAATAACACGATAAATGCTAATATCGCCCGCAGAGTAATAAAGGGACAATGATAATAGTAATAGAAACGTTGCCGTCGATGAAAGATATCACGCAACGATGGCGCATGCGTTGCGATCTTATTTAAAAGATATAGTATATTAAATTACTCGTTCAAGATACGATAATGATAACAAGCTGATTGTACGGATTGTAGCGACAAAGGAACCAATAATGAATGTCGGTTGAAATGTTTCAATGCAGCAAGGTTATTCGACGGAGATTTAGATTATCATTTGTTTCAATCACTACGGCTATAGAAGGTAACGACGAGTGTTTTATGATTGCACGTTATATATGAAAAAAAACACATCAATAAAATATTAATATATAAAAAAAGATTTCAAGAAATATCTAACCGATTAACATATCATTCTCGAATGAATGAATCTGGCGGAAATGCATGAAAGGATGTCTGCATTTTGCATTACGTGATCATCTCGTCATTTATTCACAAATGTAGCACGATAGATAAATCCGGATAATAATATCTGAGTAATACAAACCTGAACGTAACATCAGCCCGGGCATATATTCTGGAATATGCCGATAAGTAAACAAAGCGCGACTCGAAATGGAATCGAAATCGAGCTATAAATCTCGGATGTAACTGTGCGAAATTGCCGAGAAGACAAAGACGCATAACCGCATCTCTTTCTATCTCTCTTTCTCTTTCGTATCGCGCGAATGTATTATTTTTTTCGGCGTACAAACAGAAAAGGAACTCGTCCGAGTCGTTCGCGTGCAAGCGAAAATTTGTCAAGCAACTTTCAAATATAACGTATTCGCACGTCGAAAAGATCGCCGGCAGAATTTCGAATCACGGCAATTGCGCGAAACCGGCGTCTGATTCAGCGAGTGAGAGAGGCGATTTCTGTGTCTTTGAAATCCGCTCGCTTATCGCTCGAGAGATGTGTCGGCTGCAATTTTGCTCTTTTGTTGGCGGTACATACCAGAGTCGCGTCGTACGTTGAAATTGGCGGCATCGAATCCCGGAGACCCGAGGCCGAGGAGACCGCGGTCAGTGCACCGTAGGGGCCATCTTGCAAATGGACGTTTACCGCGTACACCTAAAACGGAGTGCGTTTTTATCATTCATCGACTTCATCGGCAGCGACACCTGCTCACTGGGGCGGGACACTGCTTATTATCCATCGCTAATACAAGCTTCGTGCGTGATGCGTTACCCACGCCACGATCCGTTCGGAGCTTCGATCGACGGTCGTCGCGGCGCGACCGAGCGGCGTGGAGTATCAGGCCGGCGCAGAGCTTCGAACGGAAGAACATATGTTTAGCCAGTGGCGCATGCGTGGTCACCGCTTCCGCAACGTACCTAGCCATCTTTCCAAGTCAAGCAAAAGTGATTGTTTTCAACCTTACTCTTATTTAACTGAACTTTTATTAATGTCAGAGCCACAGTCCGCGCTATTGCTACGAAAACAATTAGCAGGTACAACGTGAGCGCGATATGTGTGTTAAGTGTGTTTATGACGGAACGCAGATCGCAATTGAGTGGAGGCATCGGTGTCGTGCGCCTAGCGCTCTCAAGGGACTCGTCGCCGCCGTGTCTCGTAGACCCGACGTCAGGCTTCACGTCGATCTCGCTCTCGTTCTCGCCGGAAATCGTCGTGCTGTGGGCTCATGGGTTCATTCATCGTCACGCTCGTCGTCCTAGCCGGCTTGTTGTAGCCGTGCGCACCGATACGGGGCGTGAAAATCAATACGGCTCTCCCGCGGAGAGACCTGTGTGTGCTGCGCCGTGAATAACGTTAACCTAAGTCTCGGCGCTCGAGAGCTACCGAAAGCGGGTTCAAGCGGTTACGTCGTCGCCCTTGCCGTCCGTGACTTGTCGCGACTTCGAGCACGATTTGTTCCTCCGTTATCCCTGCTCGTCGCCGCCGCCGCTGTCGCCGCCGCCGCCGCCACCGCCGCCGCCGTCGCCGTCGCCGTCGCCGTCGCCGAGTCGATTCCTCGTAGCGTAGACGTGCGGAGACGGTCCTTGTGCGACGACGATGACGGTGACGACGTCGACTTCGAGGACGAAGGCCGCCCTCGCCTCATGCCCGAAAATAATTGCAGGCCTTGTTATTTATAGCGTACGCGCGTCACATGACGTCGCGCACGATGGTTCTCCTCGGCAGCGAGAAAAAAAAAAACGTATCGAGCGAGGAAACGAAAAAGAAGAAAAAAGAAAGAACCGGGAGACAGCGCACACCGACGAGACGCGAGAGCGAGGGAGAGAGTTAAAAAGAGAGAAAGAGAGAGTGTGCGTGTGCGTGTGTGGGAGAGAATGAGAGAGAGAGAGAGAGAGAGAGAGAGAGAGAGAGAGAGAGAGAGAGAACGAGCAAAAGCGTGCCGTGCAACGACCATCGAAGGTCAGCCGCCTTCGGGCCATGCTCCCCTGTTCCATTCGAGATCAACTCCGCGAAAAATGCCTCTCGGAGCTCGCTTCTCTTTGTGTGACGTGCAACAAAGTCGCAGCACGATCGCGAAAGAAAGAGAGAAAGCCATCGTGCCGGTAATATCGTGCCTCGCCTCCTTCACACGAAGTACACACGTCGCGCTGACTCACCGCGCGAATTTTGTGCGGGCGTATGGCAGTTATTTCGCACGGGCGACCTAACCTATACGTCGCATGCTTGGAGCTAGGTGCTAGTTGCTATGTGTGTAGCTGACAGGAGCGTGTACATTTGTACACGCACGTGTCTCTCGCATACAGCCGTTGTGTGTGCACGAATGATGCTGCTCTTTTTTACGCGTTACAGTAGCAGGGAATCTAACCTAAATGATCCAGTTTTCTTCTAGAGTCTAGATACGGAGGTGTCAATAACGCCGCTATTTCCGGCTTAAATTTTTTCAGGTCGAACATATCATGCCTAGATGTATGCGTATATTTACCGATTAACTAAAACTACCACCGATTAAAAAGTAGTTTTGGATCCTAAAATCTATATTCATGATATATCTTCATCGAATATTTCGGCGAGGAATGCCCGAGCGTACATCCAATTGTCAACTAATATTCACGATACATATATCCCTGCAGTCTGTTCTTTCTTGATGAACCTTCTCAATTGGTGTACATTGATGCATTAACTTAGAGCAAAACAAAATATACTCGTCTCACTCAAACTTATTGCATTAGTTTGCACTAGGAAGTTCTTTCAAGAAAGCATCTTCAAATAAACAAACGCGTACAGCCCAAAACATACTAGAATTGGAAGTCCTTGTTGTATCGCCTTGTATATGTTTGTTCTTTTTTTTCTTTTTTTTCTTTTTTTTTAAGGTACGTTTTTACTTTATTCCAATTCTTTTCTTTTCTCCCTTTTTTTTTTTTACCAAATCTCTAACGTGATTAATTGTACACTAAAATTTTCATGGTTAAAATTTCCACCTCTGTAACTTTTTACACATATATACATTTATACATATAAAATATTCAGGAAAATTTTGTAATGAAGAACAATGTGGAAAAATTTGCCTATTTTATTTGAATATTGTATTTTGTATAATTTTATAGTAAAGCTGTTTATTTTCAAGGGTATGCATTTTAATATGAATGTTCTAGACACACTTGACATATTGAAAATAATATAATTCAAACATGTTGTATTTTTCTTTATTTTCTTTACAGAATTAAATAAAAACCCAGTAGAAGGGTTTTCAGCAGGCCTCATAGACGACAATGATATATATCGATGGGAAGTGCTTATTATTGGACCTCCGGATACCTTATATGAGGGTGGTTTTTTTAAAGCACATTTACAGTTTCCAAAAGAATATCCACTTAGGCCACCAAAAATGAAATTTATAACTGAGATATGGCATCCAAATATTGACAGAAATGGAGATGTTTGTATATCAATATTACATGAGCCTGGTGACGATAAGTGGGGATATGAAAAAGCATCAGAACGGTGGTTACCAGTTCACACAGTCGAGACTATCTTGATAAGTGTTATTAGCATGCTTGCAGATCCTAATGATGAAAGTCCTGCTAATGTGGATGCCGCCGTAAGTACTGGTCTACATAAAACATCATTTGTCATATCGTATTCAATTTCTCATAATTTATCTTTTATTGCAGAAAGAGTGGAGAGAGAGTTATACGGAATTTAAACGAAAGGTGGCGAGGTGCGTGAGAAAAAGCCAAGAGGAATGTTTGTAGGGGATGAACAAATATTCAAATGGAAAGACTTATTTAATTCTGGTGAGTCTTTTGTGAAAGAAAATATAAGCATGTTTGTATACCATTTACAATCGTGAATTATATGGACAATATTCTTTTGATTTCTGTGATGTGTATATTAATATAGGGAAGCCGTAAGCACTGTAAGAAAGAAACCGATGCTCAGCATAAAGCTAACGGATAACAGTGCCACTAAAAGCGGAATAAGCCTGACCCATCCTTACGCAGAAAGAGAGAAAGAGAGAGAGAGAATGAGAGCGAGAGAGAGAGAGCGAGCGAGAGAGAGAGAGCGAACGAGAGAGAGAGAATGAGCGGGAGAGAGAGAGAGCGAGAGAGAGGGAGAGAGAGAGAGAGATAGAATGTGTGTAAACACGAGAGAAAACTCACGCAGCTCTTTCATGTTTATTAAACCACCGCTACCGACGTACGATCCAGCGAGACGGAGAACATAAAAAAATACACACGCAGTTCACCTTTTACATAATAAACAGCTAAAGAAAATTAATTTACACGTATACATAATGCAAAAAATCATCTGTACGATTACTACCTTAATATTAATAGTTATTCTAAACTTAACTCCCCCCCCTGTGCCCCTCCTATGCTCAAGAGCGACCCTAAACCCCTTTTGCCCGAAACTTGTAATTTAAAAAAAAAAACGAAAGATACGTTTACGTTTATCTGTCAAATAATTTCTTAGTGTCGTTTCGTATTTTCTTACTTTCGTAAATATATATATGTATAAATAAATTTTTTATAAAGTCGAGAGACAGGACACATGTTACAGTTGTATGAAATTGTCGATGAGGGAGAAGATGAACTGCATACGAATTACTGTGACACTGCAGTAAGAATAATGTCGATTATACGCGACGGTAATGTAAAAATATATATTAAATTTTCATCGAATATCGTGAGTTGCCAAAATAATTAATTCTAATTCAAGTGATAATAACGATAATATTGTTAACGTACCAATTATATAGTTAGTGCTCTCCATAACAAAACAAATGTGTACGTGCTATAAACGTACTCTCGAATTGTGTCACTCGTATGCAGAGTAGCGGCGATTTCCTTTTAATTATAAACTAAAATTGTGATTCTAACAACATATAATTTATGTTAAAATTCGACTGATTCTTTCGTCTTATTATACGTTATCTTATACTGTCAATTAAATTTTCAGACATTGAAAGAGCGTCTATATTATACCTGCTCTTTTCTCATCCACTTTAATAATACATTGTTTATCAAACTATACGTTTGCCAAGAGCAATTTGTGATAACAGGTATATATATATATAAATTCTTAAAAAACATTTTATTTATATTTCTCTTATATTTATTAGATTAAAAATTGCTACCATTGAATACATAAAAATATTGATGAAGTATCAGTTTTTAAATAACCAAATGGAAAGTATATGAAACTTTGTCGTAATATTTTATCTATATAATTTATAGGTCATCATCTATTTTCCGCGATGTATCTTATATCTGAGATTTATGCTTTAAGAAAAAATAATGAGAATGAGATGAACATGAGAATTTTCTAACATCGTTCGCATTTTATATTACGAAGATGCTAATTACATATATAAGACCAGAAAAAAGTCAAATCGGCCGTCCCGTCAGGGTTTCAAGGTATGTATTTTTCGACGCGCCCTCTAAGAAAGTGCACTTAAACTACATGAATACATCAAACATGAGACGGATAAGATGTAAACTTTGCGATAAAGTCGATATACGATTTGTTTATCAGTGTTGAGACAGAAACAGTGCAATTGTCGACAGCCGATCCTTTCTTTACTTATTGTCATCATGTGGAAATAGTACAGACACGAACCAAGTGACGTTACTATTACTGTTAAAAGGTACGATCAACGGACATAATTTAAGCATACTTTCTCAGAGGGCGCGCCAGAAAATTGCCTTCTTCGAAATCCTTTCGTAATGGCCGTTCTCAGACCTCTCTACCAGTGTAGAAGAAAAGACAAACCGTTTTGAGTGTGAATCTTTTCGAGGCGGAAATTTCGCGATTTATAGAGATCACAAGACGTCAATAAGGTAAGAAAAGTAAAAGAAATGTAAAGACCGCCAATTTGACGGGATGTATGTTGTATATGTGAAAAATTTTATTGTGCCATAACCATCACTGTCGATTCAAATTTTGCATTCGCGACATATACATACAGTGCACTCACATATACACATTAAAGTGTAATTTAAAAATACACATATTATACTTGATCATGTATGTGTTTGTATGCGAGTTTACCTCAAAAACATCGAGGTAATGTTAAATTATCAAATTAATACTCTGTTATGTACGAAACATCTAGATATATTGCGTGACTAAACTCATCGATGTTGTCGTTCTTCAAATGTTTCCTAGGCCACCGAGTTTATTTTTCACATATTAATATTTGCCCAGAGTTGGATGGTCTTTCTACGACATTAGTATCTATCGATCTATATAGGTTATAAGATGCTTTGTGTTAAATTTAGGTACAGGAATCCAAATTTATATTTGCTTGCCTACATTTAGCAATAATTAATACAACATAAAGAAACTCGCAAGATACATTATTTGAGTTTCTGAAGATGCAATAATATTGAACATTTCCTACGTATCGATAATAGGTGGATTGAGACAATTTACTATCGGTGTATAAAACTTATATTTGCGGCTGAAGGTAGCTGCGAGATCTGTAAATGTCGGTTACAGTACCTGATGCCTTTAATATCTTCAAGATGTTGCTGAAGTAGAGATTTACAAAATAAAATAAATTTCGTATAAAGTACGAAGTGGACTAGAATAAATATGTTTCAAAGTCTGTTTTATTTTGCCTGCAATAACAAATATTATCTGTCTATATTGTCTGAATAATTATTTTTTATTTGCATCAAAATAAATGTGGTAATTTGAAGGCACAAGGAATATATACAAAATAACTTTTTCTTTCGTGTCCTTTAAATTTTAATATACTTGAATCACGCAAGAAACATATAGAGATTCCAATTAATCGTAATTAATCGAATATCAGTTGATTGAATAATTTAGTAATTAGAAGTATATATATGTTACATAAATAGCATCTCATAGACTGCTAGATAAGAGCAACATCTCTTTTAATGCGGAAAAAGGGAAAAGATAGGTTGTTGCAATAATTAGCAGCATGGTACTTTATATAATACAGGCTTTTTAATTTAGAAATTCTTGAAAGGAGACATTGATATGGATAATATAATTATACGTATATACAATGAAGATAATCTTCCATTTATGTTATGATTGAATGGTATTATTGCATCTGTAAGAACTACTGCGCGAATTTTAAACTAATGAGAATATAAGAACAATCTGAGAAATAAGAACAATGAAGATAACGAGCGTAACAATATTTAGGAGTGTTTGAGACATCGAGTGCTTTGCGTAGTTATGTTATATTTTTACAATATTACGCATTTATTCCATATTTTCAATATGGAATTAGAAACCTGTACTTTTGGAAAGAGAGAAAGGGCAGAGAGAGAGAAGCACGATCCGATATTTCGTTTTTTTGAGTCCTCGTACAAGCTGAACCATTCGAAAGAAATATTTTATTTCTACGAAAAGCAATATAACATTGACATCTGTTTGTCAAGTTACATGGCGCTTTTTAAGCATGCACTGTTTTAAAGTACGTCGCGAGAAAGCGTTTTAAAGGAAGAAAAAGAAAGAAATAAAAAAGGGACAAGCAAGTCAACGCTCTCAATGTCTCCGAGAGATGGTGATGATCGTCATTAACGTCTAGCAATAAATCACTCTAATTCCAAAATTCTCTCTCATGGAAGATATAGATATTATAATTTATTCGCAGAATAACGCGTCCCTCTCGCGCAAAGGAGATATTAAAGACCCTTAAGCTACAGATCGTTCAATAAATCTCTCATATATCTTCAATACTTTGTATACCTTATTTATTTCTTTTTTTATCTTCGTATAATAATCATAAACGTACAATTTAAAACAATAGTGCTCGTGTGTTTATGCAATGTACAGGATACTCTTTAAGCTATAATACAGTTCGAAATGAAATACAAATCAATAGACTATTACTTTAGGTAAACCTTCTTGTTTTCTTTTAATACATTATTTTCACTACTGGATGACACAGTGTTCTTCGTGGTTCGTTTTACTCTTCATTTTTTTTCTTTTTTGATCGTATGCTTGCGCACATGCACCTCGTGGTGCACGCTCGCGTGTTCCTCTTCCGAGCGTCCTGGGGGGTCGGGGGGGGGGAAGAATGGAGGGGGGGCTCAACACCTTTTGAATATCTATCTACAGTTACCGTTTGTTGTAAAATATTCATTATTAGGTTTACGATATGATTTCCTCCCTTTCCACCGTCGTCGATAACATTAACGCAATCCCGCTCGTATATCCGCACGCAATTACGCACTTTTATTCGTTACGTTTATATTACATGTCTGTCGTACACCTTAGACGGCCGTCGATCCTTCGTCCTCGACATAAAAGCTGTATCGTTTAAATAATTAAAGCTGACGGCTATCTGTCGGCTATCCTGTATCTACAAAGAACTTATACATTACGCTCGTTTGCCGAATGAAAAAGAGAACGGGGAGAAACAATCGTATATAATATAGTCGTGTGTATATGTTACAAATCGCGTGAAACACGTCCATATCCGTGGAGTGTGATCGGATACTTCGGTCATGAGCGCGGCGACAATACGATCGTCACCGACATGGTCGTGATTGTTGTCTCGTTTACGTCTGAAGTGGACGATCTCGTGGTCGACTCACGTTGTCGGTGAGGATCGACAATTAATCATGGTTTTGCAATTGGCCTCGAGTACACCGTGTCGCGGCCGCTAAATCAATAAGAATCGCGAATGAAACAGATGATGAATTAGACTAATACTCGATCGAAAAAATTGGCTTTTGGTATTCGAAGATTTGAGATCGCACGTTTGTTCTCCGTCTTCCTCCCTGCCTCGTTGTAACCCGTTTTGCGTGTCCGAAGTCTTTCCTATCGAAGCTTTTCGGTGTAAAATCCGTCGTTTGTGTGCATGTGTGTGTGCGCGCGCGCGCGCGCGTGTGTGTGTGTGTGCGTGTGCGTGTGTGTGTGTGTGTGTGTGTGTGTGTGTGTGTGTGTGTGTGTGTGTGTGTGTGTATGTGGACGATCAACGAAGCATACGGATCCTCGCTGTGATCACACGCGTCCGTCGCGATTATCCATATTCTCGTCGATCATCGGGCTGCTCGGTAAGACTCGGATCACTCGTCGACAGACGAATCAGCGTCATTAAGATACGAGGTGTAATCGCATGAATATAGCAATATATACATTCGATACTCCGGTATAGTCGTCTTCCTGTCGTCGTGACGATTTATGAAAAAAACTTAAAAAAGAATCGGGGATGGGAAGTGGGGGAGAGAGAAGAGTCAATTGATCTCAGTGGTCTCTCGTTTAGCAATGCCCTTCTAAAGCGATCGTCTGCATGAACTTCTCTTCGCACTTCTGCCTTACGTATCGTGTCTCATTCGTGTGTGTGTTTGTTCGTTCCTTCTTTTATCCGTTATCCTTTTTTTCTTCTCTTTTTGCTCTTTTAGCTGCGGACTAGAATTTAATCAAAGATTAAAATTTATTCTGATAAATACTAGTTTGATTCGTTAATAATTCGAGGACTGTCTCTCTTTCTCTCTCTTACGAAGTTGATCTCACTTATGCACACACGCGTTCGTTCACCCATTCGCTCGTTCTTTCTCGCTCTCACTGAATCTCGCTGAAAATCGCCTCGAAATATCATCTGCGCATCTCTCCTTTCTTCTAGGCATCGATAATTTACGACAAAGTCTCGTAATTATTAATTATTCTCCCTTTGCGCCATTTATAATAGCCCAGACACTGCATTTTCACGAATCGCAACGAGCAGTTGGTGAGAATTGTGGGAATTGGATTTTCTTTCTATTCCTTACCTCTCTCATCGTGTCGCGGTTGCTGATTACGCAAATTTATTCTGGGGATGTGCGATCGCTGGCTGCGACAAGTGAAAATTCAGCAGGCAGTTGCGCGATGTGTATCGCTGTTAGTCTGCGTGGGGTATATTCGTACGTTCTAATAGATATAATTAAGTGTGGTAAGTAAGTAAATATACAAGACGCGTGTGTGTGTACGTGTATATGTAGTTCTTTGTGTGTTCGTATTCCGAGAGGTTTCTTCCCTCCTTTCCTTTGTACAGGTATTTACATACGCCAGAAATCGCCGCATATCCGTCGACTCAGGCTTGCGCAAATCTCTCGTCTCGTTCAATGAAATAGGCGTGCCTCTTCGTCTTTCACTCGTACTCGCTCTTTCTCTCTATGCGTCATCGTAATATAAGCTCTATCACATTGGCTTTACAAGCCACATTGTTATCGCGACAATTTTTCTAATATAATATAATATTAATGATAAAATAATAATGATTATCGTTACAATAGTGACAATAATAATTAGCAATAATTAACGTAAGCCTAATAATACGATAATATTTGTAATCATCAAAAATATTCATCACCAATTTCATTTTGTTTCTTTGCTTTAGCACAGCTAATAGTCACGAACAAATAGAAAAAGGAAATTTAAATAATTGTCTCGTGAAACGAATAGATTTACTTCTTTTTTGGTATTTTACATTCTGCACGCCGTTCAACATATTAATGTAAAAATAGTAATCGATGACAATGCGCTTGATAACTGAGAATATTTAATAATGATAATTATATAATAATAATAATAATAATAATAATAATAAAATAATCCGTAATGATAATAGCAATGATAATAATAATAATAATAATAATAACATTGGTAACGGTCTTAAGTGATCATTCTCCTCGCAGTTTTATAAATAGACGGATAAGCAAGAAGTAGGGAGAACAGAATAGAGGAAAAAGTCGAGTTTTTAACCGAGAGAGATAAGAAGGTTTAAGTCCGGAGAGAAAGAGAAGAGAGGAGAGGGGAGGGGGGAGAGAGAGAGAGAGAGAGAGAGAGAGAGAGAGAGAGAGAGAGAGAGAGAGAGGGAAAGAGAGATAGAAAGGAGGAAGGAGTATATAACATTAACAGCTTAATTACTATCGGGAATAGGGAGGCAAGTATAAACAATAACATGAATCACAATTATGCAATAATTATTAATCGGCCGTTCCGTCGCGCTTAATTTCGTTAAAAATTAATAATAATTCGATCTAACAATTGGTTACTGGGAGATTGCACTGTGGCGAACCCGGACCACCTCTGTTTTCCGCGCATTATCTAGTCCGTTTCGTCTCCCTCCTCTGGAATGATCATTCATCAATCATTCATCACCGAGGGGAAGTGTGATCACGAAAGCGAAAGCAGCCGGGGTTCTCTCGAATTTCGAACGAGTTGCAACGAGAGCCCGTCGTCGTCGTCGTCGTCATCGTCGTCGTCGTCGTCATCGTCATTGTCGTCGTCGTCGTCGTCATCGTCGTCATCGTTGTCGTCCCATAGCTCCCGGCTCCGTTGTTACTTCATAGTCTTCTAACGATACGATTTCGCCGTTGAATCGCGCGCACCGACACTTATTTCGTACCACTTGTCGCGTAGAAAACGTCACAAAGTGAGTTCTTTTGATTGAGCTCCATTCAGTTTTGATCGTTTCGTCCTCCTACTAGCTCTCGTCCTCCTCTCTCGACCTCCTCTCTTTTCCTCCTCCTCCTCCTCCTCCTCCTCCTCCTCCTCCTTCTCCTCCTCCTCTTCCTCCTCCTCCTCGGTGACTCCTTCCAAGAATTTCTTTAGACCCGTACATCGCGTTTGCCTCTCTATGATAATGCCCTCGTGGTAGGCAGGACTCGGTGCCGCACGCTCCGAGTCCTATAACTGGTTTCCTCGTTTAAAACTTAACTAGACCGGTGGCCCTCGCGGACCGCCTTTTTCTACAAAGCGTTGTTTTGGCATATTCCAACAACGTGAGCCCCTCATCGGGGACACGTCGGAAACCTCGCTCCAGTTTTGACTCTGTCCGAAGAAGTAACACTGAGTTCGCGGATCACTCCGTGAGATTTCACGTGTCGCACTGTCCTAGTAATCCCACGTTTCCTCCGGCTCGTGCTTCACCACGTCCTTCGGACTGCCCTCCGTCGACTGCTGCGTCTGCTGCACCGACGGCGGTCTGGGCGACGTCACCGGACTATTCTGACCGGACTTTGGACTTGGCAGCGGGCTATCCCGGTCGGCTCCATTGTTACCAGATACGGAAGAGACGTCGCTCTGAGCGTCCTCTTCGTATCTGTCCTGCACTGGAGTCGGCTCGACCCTTATGGTCTCCTCGGCCTCTCTCTTCACGCCGTAGTCGTCCGTTTGCATCACACAAACGCCATTGATGATCACCTCGTCGCCCGCTCTCGTCGGTTCTTGCCACTCGGGATTCACCCACTGCGGCGCTGCGGGTTTTCTTCTGTTGGACCTGACCGTGGTGGGTGCTGTCGGCGTCTCTGCGGGCTCTCTCTTTATACTACCAGCCGATCCGTCCGAATCCTCGCTACCTAAATTACTCATTGCGTCCTCGGCGTCCTCGTCCTCGAACTCTTGATTAGGCTCCCTCTTGAGCGCGCTCATCGAAAGGTCGAGGCCGGAACATTGTTCCTTTAGAGCGTTACCTACCAAGGTCGCGAGATTGGGATTAAAGTACGGAGAGTAAGGCAAAGGTACATTCCCCAGACCCAGCCTCTCCTTCTGAATCTCCAGCAGTCTTTGGTTCAAGAGTAATCTGAATTGGACAGGGTCGAACGGCTGGCCGGGTTCTCGCGGGGATTGTGGCTCCGGCTGGCCATGCGGCGTCTGTTGCTTCAGTCTCATTCGATGATTGTGAAACCAGTTCGTTATCGTCCTCGAGGACAAGGCGAGCTCACCGGCGAGGAATTCGATGGTGGCCACATTGGGGTACGGATCAAGGGCGAAAGCGAGTCGGAGTGCTTCCTTCTGCTCCTCGGAGAAGAGAACGCGCTGCTTCTTCGCGGAGGCCGGCCCCGGGCCGGGCGAGGCAGCGTGATAGAATTCGGCGGTGTCGTTGCTCGAAGTGTCGGAACTGTTGTCGTGACCGGGACCGCTGCTGCGTCGTCTCTTGTTCGCCTCTCGTCGCTCGTTCTTCAACGCCTGCAGTCGGTCGACGTTGTGCGCGTCTGACAGCCAAAGTTGCATTCTGATGAAGGGCTCCCGACCCTTTATGCTGAGCATGTGCCACGGCTTGGGCTTGCTCAACAGTTCGCTGACGGAGCCCTGCGACAGACCGAGCACCGCCTCGCCGAAAATCTTCTGGCCGATATTGTTCGCCAACAATGCTTCCTTGATCTTCGTGGTGATGGTCTGTGTGTCGAGATCTTGCGTGAGGGCGGCCATCTCGTACACACTCGGTGAAATGTGCGGATGGAGACCTCGAAGAGGCGACGGCGCCATTTGATGGTGCGGCGAGTGCAGTGACATTTGTTGCTGCTGCTGCTGTTGCTGTTTCTTCTGAAGTTCCTGCATGCTGAGTTGAGCGTGAGGATGATGAGGACCGGGTGGTGTTAGCATCATCGGCGGCGGCGGCTGCGGGTGCTGCGGGTGCTGCGGATGCTGCGGGCTCTGCTGAGGCGGTCCGAGCTGCATCTGATTCTCCTGCTGATGCTGCGCCGCTGCTTGCGCAGCCGCCTGTGCGGCGGCTTGCGCCTTTGCCGCGTTCTGAAGTTGTTCTTGGACGAGTTTCGTCGGTGGCATAGGTTTCATTGGTGTTCCGCAGGCTGTAACAGCGGTAGACGTTTGGTTAAGAGAATTCGACGGGTAGAATTGAAACTTGATAGTCCGAAAGCTCCTCTTCTACGGACGTCAGAATGTAATTTCATTTCTATTTTGTGTGTACGAGTGTGTGCGTTTGTGCGTTTGTGCGTGTGTGCGTGTGTGTGTGTGTGTGTGTGTGTCTGTGAGGATCGTATTGGCGCGCAACCCTCGATTCTCTCTATAATAAAATAAACAAGTTGCATCTATACGTTGTCAAGATGTCATGCTTGCTCGAGTCGCCTCTTTCGAGTCGCACAGAAGGTGTACCACCACATCATCATGACGTCGTGCTCGACAGACACAACAGAGCTCCCGAACTACGTTAATATAATAAAGTAACAAAACATCTATATTGACCTGAGTTAAACTTACGAGGCAGGCCGCCGTAGCCGCCGGTCCTCATTAGCTTCTCCGGGGCGATTTTGTACTGGCTGGCGACCAGTTTGTGCACCGCGTTGTCATCCTCGAGGAACATTTTCATGCGGATGAAAGGCTCGCGACCTTTCTGGGTCAACATATGCCACGGTTTGGGCCGCGCGAGAAGATCTGATACCGATCCCTGAGACAGGCCCAGCACCGATTCGCCGAATAGTCGTTGCGAGATCGAATACTGGGACAATTGTTCCTTCACCTGTGCAAGTTGACATTTCAGATTAGGCTCGCGGACGCGAGTGATGAATTATGTACAATCGATAGCTTCAGCTTAGGCTCAACTTACTCTCTTCACGATGTCTTCGGTGTTGAGATTATTGTACATGTCGAATTGTTGCTGCGTGATCGGTGGAAGCACAGCTTTCAGCGGCCTCTGATTGGACGCATGGTGAGTTGGCGTGGACGGTTGACTTATCAGACTGTTCGTAATGGAAGCCATCCTCTGAAGAGGGCTGGCTGCCGCCGCACCGGAGAACTCCTCGTTAGGCGTCATCGCCGGTGGTAGTATGGAATTGCCCAGCGGCGAACTCGCGCTGGAACCACCGGGCGTCGACTGAGGGCCCGTTGATTCTTGCTTCGGTCTCACCAGGGAGAAAGCACTTCCGGCGTGTCTCATCGCCTCCTCCATCTTCTCTTTCTCCTCTTCCGATACGCCATTGATCATTTTGTTGCGCGGATCCACCTTGCCTAGGCTCAAGTCTTGAACACCGCCGCCATTTGCGGCCAAGTGATGCTGCTGGAGAGCTTGTTGTTGAAGCGCCAGCAAGCCTGGGAGCCCAGGCAAGCCCGGCAGGCCGGTGATCGAGGGATTTTGCCCTGGCGCGGTGTTCAGTTTCTGAAGCTCACGATGATAAGCATCCAGTGCCAATCGTATGTCCTCCTGGGTGCGTTCGATGCCTTGAAGGCCGCCCTGGGCACCGCTGAAAAAATGCGGAAAGATCGCACTACGATCAATCGAGGTCGCGTGCTGTCCTCAATAATAATCAATCGCGGTAATGTAACTTTACTTACATCACGAGAACAAGATCTTTTAGCTTTCTATCGCGACTATCGACATTTCGTCCGAGATCAGTCGAGCGATTCTAGACCGGTATTGAGATTTGCGAGCGTTATTCTTCTCGGATACTCGGGCTGACCAGCCGAAACCGAAGCGAGTACCAGCGAGGCGCGAGCAATCGCAGGCCGGCATGCTCGGCCAATCAACTTGTTGTAGCGACTTGAGAGATGACACCTCGTAATCGTGACCTTACCTAGGAGGGAACTCTCGCGGGCGAAGGTCCTCCACTCTTCTACCCATCAGCTTAGCCAGTTCCTCCTGGTAGATTCTCACCACCTTCTCCTGGGGAATGTCGTCGTTTTCGTACTTCTTTAGTCTCCTGTTCTGACTGTCCAATCTGTCTTTGCTGAACGGACTCGGGCAACCGATCCTGTTCGGGCTCTTACTGTCCGCGTCGTTTGATACCTCGTGCTCGCTCCTCATTTGCAAGTGGCCCGACTCCGACAGTATATGAGCCAGTCTTTCGTCACTCATGTCGGGCGGACCACTATCCTGTGGTCCACGTGCGAACGCTGGCATTCCCTGCTCCTTGCCTGAAACATACTCTACGGGTGAGGCACAACTTGTGGTGTATTCTTACTCAGTTTGGTCTTAGGTATATATATATATATATAAACAAAAAGAAAGGTGACACACAGAAACAAACGTGAATGCAAGAGACAATAAACGTGATTCTCGACGCGACTCGTCCGGCGCCTGTCGCATCGACTTTTAACTTCTCGTGTGCTTCTCCTCTCGCTCCGAAAACCTCGAATCATCATTATTATCGTATTCAGAGGGCTGATCAGTCCTCTAGTGGCCGACGTTGATAATTACTGCACAATCTATTCGTCGCGCACGAGCCATAATCCGACGTGAATTTGGGAAGAATCTCAAATTGTCGACCTTCGCTGCAACGTTCGTTTTTTTAAGTCGCGAGACGACTCACTCGTGCAGGCGAGAGTGACAGTTTTGACGCGGTAACGAATCATATTTGGAAGATGATTTTATGCTCGCTAGCAATTAATATCACGCGCAATCGATAACTGCGGGCTGAACCCGAAGGCGAAGTATACTCGACGACGATAATTAAAATATCCTCTCCTGGACCCTCTCTCTCTCTTGCGGTCTTTCCCCTGCACATCGGCAGGAGAGCAGTCCTCCTACGTGTTTCCCATCTAATTGACCAATCAGTTGCAAGATTCAGACGAACGTACCATCGATCATATCTTTGATTGCTCTCACGAGCCCGGCGCGTGAATCCGCACGCGAGAATCGCGCGCGCGCGCGAGCGCGCGAATTTCGATCACCAGCGAAATAATCTCCCGACGTTTTATCCGTCAAGATCCGACGCTCCTCGCTCAGATCCGCTCCCCCCGTGCGTTTTCGCGATTGCAAAATGCAGCTCGCCCAAGGCGATCCGGAAGCTAACGCAACCGCATCTTATATCATAAGACACGTGTAAGCGCGATCGCCGTTAGCACTCGTAAGCGATCGCAGCGAGTGCCGGATTAGCTGAAGAATAATGTCTCTCTCTCTCTCTCTCTCTCTCTCTCTCCTTCCTGTTGACTCCCTGTATTAGTATCGGCGCGTGCACCCGACGCGTGCAGATCGAACTTTCTTCCCAACGTAATCCGACTAAATCGCGCTCTATCTTGCGTTGCGTTTGAACGCTGACGCGATAATTGCCAGGAGAAACGGAGGTAAGCCGCCGATAAGAAGGAGAGCCGATTGCGGAGCGCTCGCGTAATTGACGATCGGTCGCGGATGGGCCGAGTGAAATCGGGAATGCAGAGGTAAAAACGATGTCGTATACACGGCGCGTCTGCGAGACAATCGCGCCTTGTCGCGCAACGTTTGAATTTCTGCCAACACACTCGCATTTGTGCGCTCCGATGCTCCGTCTCGAGCGGGCGCGCAGAACGCCGAGTCGGTGTTTTCTTCCTCCGTCGTGGATCCGCGCGCATTCCGCGCTCGATGACAATCGAGCAATAATCGTCGGCGAGATAGACTCGCGAGAGAGACCAGGCGGCCGAATTGACACGGTGAGAGATGAGCGCGCGCGACTTGCGTCACACTCCGACCTCTTCCTTCCCGCGGGTTCACTCGGACGGCGTGATCACGTGGGAAAGCTTGCGCGCGTCATGTATGGAACCGTGCGCCGCCGTGATTGTACGTTCGAGAACTGGCAATCTTCCCGCGACTTTCTCATAGGAAATATAGAATAAGTAGCCGAGCGAGAAATATTATCGGACGAACGCGATCGCGAGCGATACGTACATTGTGCGCCGCGCGGCGCGGCGCGGCGCGGCGGCGAGCACAATCGCTCGCGTGCTTGTCACTTATATCGGCAGACATTCTCTCATCGGGTTGCACAAAGAGAAGAGCGCTGCTGCAAAATTCATGGTTTCTCTCAATTAAGAGGCATTTTTATACACACACGTTCGCTCAATCCGCGCGCGCGCGCGCGCGTTATCTCTTCAGGCGCTCGCTCGCCTCGGATATTCCGCGAGCGAAGCTCGCGACTAAGCTCGGCCGTGCTGCATCCGGTCAAATCTTTGAAGAGTACCGCATTTTACAACGGAAAGGCATCGAAAGACGCGAGGAGGCTCTTCGGGCTGTTTTCTATCGGCCGGATGATTCGTTGATTTCCCACGGTGCGGAAAATCTCGATGGTAGGATAAGCCGCTTGGAAAATGGCCCGGCCGCTTGTTGTGCAACGCGTCGCATAACGACGCGCGTCGCGCATTGTTACGAGCTTTGCGCACTAAATCCATACTTTTCTTAGCCGTTGCGCCCTCGCTCCGCTGCCAGCAGCTTCGTCTCACCGGCGGCGCGAATGGCGGATGGCGAAACGTCACGGTCGGCGTGCGCGCGTCCTGATCGCGTCGCTGCATCAAAGACCGGCTACGAGGAATCGACGAAAGAGAGAACAATCGCGCGGCCGCGCGACGCACAATGGGCGCGACGACGACGAAGAAAATGTTCGCGTACGCGTACTCGTGCGTGTTTCGCCGGGAAGGAACACCTCCCCCCCGCGCGGCAATTATATTCGCGCCGTAAAATTGTCTCTCGACGTATGCACGTGCACGCGACGCGACCCGCTCACACACGGGCGCGCGCACGCGGCACAGGCGCGATGACGAGGGGAGAGAAACGTGTCGACAATGGGGCCCGGCGATTACAAAATCTGGAACGATTTCGTGGGAGTTCCCCGCCGCCCCCCCCCCACCCGGTGCCGGTGACTTAAGAAACTCGCCCGATTGTTGCGGGAGCGCGAGCGCGAGTTACCGCGCGAGTTGCGACGCTTCCGAACGCTACGCGCCGCGACTCGCAATCGCACGCGATTTGGGGAAAGTGTGCGTTCGTTCGTTCGTTCGTTCGTTCGTTCGTTCGTTCGTTCGTTCGTTCGCTCACTCGCTCGTAAGCCGCGTGTGGTAACTGCCGCCGCCGCGCCGTCAGAACGAACCCGAGTGGTTTCTACACCCGAGCGCTCGATTCCGCGACTCTCGTACTCGCGAATCGGCGCGAAACATCGGACGACAGCCGAGATGATCGGAGATAACTCCGAGAAGCAAAAGTCGCGAGTAATACTCGAGCGAGTAATATCCGTCTGTTATTGGCTTTTGCAGCGGCCAATTTTCCTCTTTCTTTTATTCTTCTTTCTTTTTACCTGTGTATCCGTAGATTTATTTCTCCTTTATTTACTGTCGGAAGACTGTGCGCATTTAACATCCGCGCAGCCGAGCGATTTTCACGATACAGTCGAGTGCTCGGCTAATACCCGAGAAGCTGGATACTCGGATATTGACACCGCTGTTGGTGATCAATCAGCATTAACTCCGCGCAGCGGAATTCCTCGGTGCGTGCGAAAAGTACGAAAGAGCGGCAAAACGCGCTCCTGCAGAGGCTCGCTTTGAAATATCGAGTCCCACGGGAGAGAATCCGGGTGTTATCGGCGAGCATGATCGCGCCTCCGTTCCCTGTTCAGCTCGTTGTTAAAGACGAGGACGCGCTTGAATGCGAAAACTCCGGGCAGCTCGTGCGCGTATAACGTACTCGTCGCGGCGAGGCGTCAAGATGTAGAGAAGGATACGAGCGGCGCGGAGAAAATCTGATAAAATCGGCGCATAAGGCGTAGAGTGCCGGGCTCTAATGAACGAAACTCGTTCGCGCGGAATACAGACGCGCGTGCTGCTGCAGCCCCGCAGCTGTCTGTGTGCCACCTGTGCGCGCACACCTGTATACGAGGCGTATTTGCCTCGTCGCCTTTGCGAGTGGAAGTACGTTGTTGCGTACGGCTCGTTTAATTGACGGTGAGATATGAGACGTTCGTAGCCGCGAGGCATCGTCGCCGTCGTCGTCGTCGTCGTCGTCGTCGTCGTCGTCGTCGTCGTCGTCGTCGTTGGTTCCTTCTCCCAGCATCCAGGCAATTAAAGAAGAATCGGGCGCGTTCGCGGCTAAGAACCATTCCTTCTCGCGAATTAAAGCGACTCCGGTCGCTCAACGAAGACTATCAGCGGAATTCAAAACCGGCGGCGTTACATACGGAGCGTCTCATAATGATTGCCTAAGGGTACGTTACAACGCACGTCGACCAGGATAAAGCAACTGTCGGCTCTTGCAAAAATGCGGATAACGCAAGGTTCTTTAATTATCCAGTTTGCTTATCGAACATTCGGCTAATGAGGGAGGAGGTCCTGGCGTACACGCTGCTGAACCGACAGCTGCCAAGACGGTCCGGCGTGTATCACGCTCTGAATGTCTCTTCATTGGACGAATTTTGTTCGATAAAAAATTGAGCTAAAAATTTCGGCTCAACACTCTTCTACTCGCGCGTGTCTCCGTGTGTGAGTGTGTAGTCCGCTTGATATAGAGACTGCCACGAGTTTTGAAACCCCTCCGTCACACTTCGATAGTGTTATCTTCCGCGAATCAGGTCAACGTACGCAAATGAGATACTTTTATAGCTGCGGTTGTCAAGCTAGAGTTCCTCTCTCGCTTTGGGAAGCGCTTTATATCGTTTTCTATGTTTACTTTGTATTAGTCACTTGAAGAGTCACTGCTCACCGAAGTGAAAAGAAAGTATAAAACGCAAAGATCTCCATAATCACGCACCTCCATAAAGTACTATAATTATATTAGTTATAAAAGCGTAAATGTCCCACCGTTCGCGGGGAAATCGCAGTTATACGGCCCGTGACGCTTCTCGCCGCGGCTGCAAATCATCGCAAGCATGATTTTCGTTCATGATGGTCGTCGCGCCGCCGCGCCGCGGAAAGTCTCCGATGAGAATCCGGAGGATCGCTCGCGCGCGCCCGCGGCTTCGCGAACAAAATTCTGCAATAAACTGACTTGGAGCCAGACCAACTATGTTTATTACGGTAATCTCGCCTGCGCGTTGCTCTTGGTGCGCGCTTAGATCAATTGTGTGTTGTAACGCTCCGCGGGCGTAATAATAAACCGGCTGGACGTGCCGCGCTGAATAGTGGGCCAAGATCCAGATATGTTTGTCGCGGAGGATCAGCGGTTTCCACGAATGCGCGAGATTTTTGCTCGCCGAGGCGACCGACTGAAAGCGACGTTTGCGTAATTTATAAAGCGCGCCGTGATTTAGGCCACCGGAACCCGAGGGGCCTGGCGACGTTAACTGGATCCAAATCATCTCACCCTGAACTACAGGCGAACAAATTCATTGTCAACGTTCTACAGCTGCCGGCGCGCGCGTAAATTCCCGCTCGAAAAATATTGCGCTCGTAAATAAGCTCCAAGAGCGCGTTAATGATATGGTTTCGCGGGCCATAACGCGATAAAATTCCCACTTGCCTCGTACACGTGATGACTCCTGTATCGTATGATTCACGTAGAACATCGAAAGCCGAAAGACGGGCGGATATTTTCGCGATAGTTGCGCGCGCGGCAAAATGGAACCATCTCGATCCGCGATCAACGACGATCATTGTAGAACAATTTTCGCGCGGACGTCCGGCGCGGATGATAAATAAGGTGACCACAAAGTCGATTCATAAATCACAATAAAGCTCTCAACGACAGGTTGGTATTGCGCCGCCTGCGCCTGTCTATATAATAGCGCGATGAGTCGTTAGATCAGGTATTTAGCCCGACGCAAACTTATCTCAACCGACCGACGCCGCCACCAAAGCTAGGCGGCGCCTTTCAGGCTATATAAAGCCGCCGATTTTTGCCCATAAATCACACGCCTTGATTATAGAAGTTTCGGACATTGCTCCAAGTATATTTATGCTATTGAGCCGCTGCGGATTCTCATTACGATCACACGGGACGCTAGCGCGCACAAACGGCGAATGATTAATCCGACGATTAAAGAACTCCGGCGGCTGCTACATTTCCAAGGCGAGCACAATAAATATCTAACTGATCGTGACTACTCTGCTGTGCCCGAACAGAGGGATTTGATTTACGACATCGCAGCAGTCGTTAACGATTGCACCGAGTAATTAGCGGATTCTTTACATAGCAGCGCGGTATGTTTCGACTGACTAAGACGCGCAAGAATCCACACAGATCGACTGGATGCCATCTTTTTACTCTAAGGTTCACGATGCTCGATCAGATCCACTTCTTCTTCTGTGTCTTCTCTCTCTGAACAAAGTAAAGATTTTGAATTCTAAGGTTTGACGGAAGGGAAATGCAGAACGTAAAGTCGTATTTAGAAAAAACGGTCAACGTCCACAATTTTCTTGCAACATCAACGACTGCATCGATCGGTGGTTCCTGCAGTTCTGATTTATTGCCGTGCTCACGCCACGGAATGATACACGCATGCATCCCTATAATTTTACGGTTGGCGCATTGAGAGACGTTACGACCCCCAAAGTTTTTGTCACCAGTTTTCTCTCTCTCTCTCTCTCTCTCTCTCTCTCTCTCTCTCTCTCTCTCTCTCTCTCTCTTTCGTGCCACCCCACGTATGCCCTAACCCTTCATTTCTGTTGTCTTCTTCTGTCTCTCCCTCTCCCGTACGCACTCCCTCCTATCCGCTGTAATGTCTCGTGATTGTTGTTACCAGAGGTCCGACGGAAACCGACAATCCATTGATGCAGGACGCGCCTCGTGACCCAACTGAATTTTATACACGTTTTATTTCATCACCGGACGTGAAGGGAAAATGATGGCATTGAGTCAACATCCTGTGGTGAGTGTGTGAGTGTGCAATTGATATTAATATTTACAAAAAGACGGAAGGCGCGCACCGTACACAGCCGTGATGCCGCGACGAGATCGTGTGGTAAAACAGAAGGAAAGAAAAAGGGAAATTAAAAAAACTCGAAGAAAAAATTTCGTTACGATATATTTCACACGCGGCTGCTCTTGCAACTATTATTTGCATTATTTCAAACAGCTTCCGCGATTATTGATTCCGGGTATCCGATTGCCCAACTATTTCGGACGATACCCGCCAGTTTGAGTATCGTTTGAGCACCTGGGCGTAAAAACTGCCTGGTTTCTGCTGACAGCACTGGTATTCACGTCAATGCTAAGATAAAACCTGGCTCATTCGGCGTAATCTAGCAATTCCGCGGCAATCAGAAAAGTGCAAATTGGTTTCCGCGATAAGTACAGACCGGCGCGTTTAGGATTTCTATGTTCTCTGTCGGATCTTGCCTTCCTTTCTTCCCCCGTCCTCCCCCCCCCCCTCCCCATCTCTATACACCGGAGCCCTTTATACATCTCACCCCTACCCAGCACTCATCCAGGGCTTCCTATTCCCAGGAGCTATTAGTCTAAACAATATGGCTGCCAAACGCAGCATACAATCGATAACGGGCAAGGTATGCCAACGAGCTGCGTAATTTAATTAAGACTATAGATGTTCAAGCCTGGATACAACGTGCACGTTTTTGCATCAGATACCGGATACGAAATGTGTGCGCTCTCGTTAACAGCACGACACACTGACGCAGTAGTAAAGTATTTCCTAGCACACAATTACACGTGTGCACGTGAGTCGTTCGTGAATGATCGTCGTGTCACGAACGTCGATGCAACAAGATCGGTCTTCAGGCTCTTCAAACGAATTCCACATTGTTGCATTCAACAGAGAGAAATTAATCATCGAGCTGGTGTAATCGCCGTTATCGTCTGTGATTCTCCGCTCCAACGTTTTGGCTAATACTCGCATAGTTGCTATCGTAGAAGGTGGTCGCAATGATTTTTCTATCGACATCTTGCAAAACCCAACTGCCCCTTTTCAGTTCAGATATAGCGAAAGCTCACGATGTCACCAACGCACACTCATCTCCCTAATCTCTCACATCGCGTGTGTACAGAGGGATGCCATTCTAACATGAGCGTTCCTTTGCCCCGCGGTGCAGTTAGAGTAAAACGGAAGAGTACCATCGAGGCAACCCACGTTAGGCAACCGAAAGGTTAGCTGACAGCTCGCAGTTAGTGATTCGGCGAGATGGATTATTGGCAGTGCGAGGCGGAAGATTTTCGAGAGTCAAGTCAATCGATATGTCATCGACGACGAAGGCGAGAGCACGTCTCATGGCTCAACAGCCACGGCGACTCGCTATGGGAATCGTTGCCCTTTTGACGTTTTCAACGATTCAGGTTGAACGATTCAACGTAATTACACACTCAAGATAGCAAATATTCGATCGCACATCCTCAAACCATCGCGCTGAACTTTACCATAAATGCAGTTTATCGCCCTTATGGGCGTGGAAGGAAGCGAAATTAATCACGATTGCTACAGGTATTCGCTACAATGTGGCGGCGTGTGTAATTACGATGTCTCGTCCGTCTTCATGGACATCGAGACGTCAAGTGATCCAGCCTTCGTCGTGTCGGACGTTACGCAGAGACGCGTCGAGAGATGTACGAAATGGTTGAAGTAGAAAAAAGTGAATAAATAAGAGAGACAGAGACAGAGAGGGGGGAGAAAGGGGGGAGGAGAGAGAGAGAGAGAGAGAGAGAGAGAGAGAGAGAGAGAGAGAGAGAGAGAGAGAGAGAGAGAGAGCAAGAGGAGAACAGAGGGACAGAAGGAGGGAAAGAAAGAAAGAAAGAGAGAGAGAGAGAGAGAGAGAGAGAGTTCGAACCGATGATCAGTACTCACCTTTCTTGGGGATGAGGGATTTGAGCAGCAATACGGCGTTCTCGTCGCATGCCCAGCCGTGCATCTTCCGATAACTGTCGCGGCCCTTTTCGGTCAGTTTGTCCCAGGGCTTGGGCTTGCTGAGTAACTCGCTGACAGTGCCTTGACTCAGCCCAAGAACATACTTCGCGAACAGTCTTTGTCCGATATTGTGTATCGACAATAATTCGCGCACTCGCCTGGCTATGTGAAGAGTGTCGAGATTTTGCGAGGCGTACTTGTCCATATTGTAGCGCAGCATCTCCTGCAGCCTCGCCTCCATGGGATCGCCCTTCGGAATGAGTGACTCGCCCAGCCGACCGGCCATACCGGCAGCCCCGAACTCGTCGCCGAATCGGAAGGGATGCGTCCGGTCGTCGAAGCGAAACGGACTCTTCAGCGTGTCGAGGACGCTCAGGCCGCCGATGTTGTTGTTCGCCAGATGATGGCTGTTGTTATTGTTGTGACATGATTCCTGATCGGCCGGGCTCTTGGGAGGCGGCGCGTTGGGCATGTGAGCTGTGAGGCCGCCGCCGTTGATTGAAGCCGAGGGTGTACTACTTTCTATCATCGACGTTGGCGGCTGAAAGCTCGGCGGCGATGTTAAGGCGATTGTGGAGGATGGTGTCGGCGGTGCCGGCGTCTCATGTCCCGACACCGGCGTCGGCGCCTTCTCAGCGACGTCTAGGCTACCTAGAGGTGTCATGCCGATTGGCGTGTTCGACTTTGCCGGGGTATTCGAGGTGGACGACGGGTCCGTCGGTGATGGAAGATGATTTAGACTACTTGGCGTTGTCGGCGGATGCAGACCCATGTGCGCTTGAGTCTGCGGCAATTGCTGTTGTTGCTGTTGAGCCAATTGGCTCAACTGAGACGACTGCTGCTGCTGCTGCTGCTGCTGCTGTTGCTGCTGCTGCTGCGGTTGTTGCTGCGGCGGTTGCTGTTGCTGCTGCTGCTGCTGCGACTGCTGCTGCTGCTGTTGCTGCTGCTGCTGCTGCTGGTGTTGCTGCTGCTGCTGCTGCGACTGCTGCTGCTGCTGCTGCTGCTGCTGCTGCTGACTTATGAAAGACTTTTCCAACGTCCGCCTCCAATTGGCGACGATTTCTTCACCGAGGAAGGAGCCGAAGGTCTCGACGTTTTGGAGAGAGTGCGGGAAGAGGAGACTCGAAGTCGTCGAAGTGGCCGAAGAGGGCGTCGGGGTGGAACGTGGAGGGAGAGAAACTGCCAGGGACGGTGGCGGTGGTTGTTGGGAGGACACATGGGACGTAGGTGGCACACCTCCGACCCCGTGAGGCGAGGCGGTCGAGGCGCGCTGCAGGGGTGACGATAATCCACCTGCAACCACCAAAAACACAAGGGAGCCCGTCAGCACGATCTCACGCGTACATGATACTCAACCTAACTTCGACTCGCGAACATGAAGATCTGGATTGTTGTTCTCGCCGTTCTGATCGCCGGTCCGTACGCGCGCTGTCTCTTTTCAAGTGCAGAACCGAGCGACGATTTCGGCACTCTTGATCATCTTCCGGGACGACGAGTGACCGAGACTCTCTTTTTCGATGCTTCGTCGGGTCATGGTCCACGCTCGAGTGAAACAAACGAGGAGCGACGTGGACGCCAACGAGAGGAAGACTGTGTGGAGATGTAGTCGACCGCCCCGAAAGAAATTATGCGTACAAGTTATGGATACATCCATCTCGCGCTGAACGTTGATCGCGATGACGCGTTCGTGTGGATGCGAGAAGTCGCCCTACTGTCGCGTCGAATAAGGTATATCCTCGCGTCTGTCGTCTGACTCGGCTGTCGCAGACGTCAGGATGTGTGGGGAGTATCGCAGGATTGAAAACAAAATAACAGAACGCTCTGTGTGACTGTATCAGGGAGGTACTGTGGTACGTGTACTAAAGTCGAGCCGAACTCAAGAAAACGTTAAGAGGGTTCTTGCTTTGTTATTGCGTGGTCTCGACGTATGGGGAATGTTTAACATTTGGACTTTCCGCATAGAAACGGTGCTCTTGACCCGTCATTGTTGAAGGAGGTAGTGGAGAGCAGGGATCGAGAAGGCAGGATCACGACGACGACGTAGAAGGGGTGGGTTTTCGGTCGGTTTCACTTAGAAGGGGTGCTGGTATGTTGCAGAGTATCTCCCTGGTTCTCTGGCGTGTGTAGGGTGTCTCTTTCTCATTCCAACTTATCGTGTGCTCTCTCTTTCTCTTTCTCTCTCTCTCTTTCTCTCTCTCTCTCTCTCTCTCTCTCTCTCTCTCTATCAGTTTGGATCGATTTATGATAAACTCTGTCTGCGAGACAATGGCCTGGACTGGGCAAATATTGCGAATGTCGTTCGCAAATTTGCGTGCACGAGGTTTGCGTTCCCTAGTGTGCGGATGGTAGCAGAAGGGAAACGGGGGTGGTTTAAAGAGGCCCTCTACGTGAGTAAGAGAGGGAGGAGGATGTTTGGAGCACTCGGTAAGAGACGAGGCGGGCCCGTGGAGTGAGATGGGCCTGTGGGTGCGGTTATAACGTGTGTTTTCGGTTGCGTTAGTTAGTACCTTCCACGAATGTACGTTAATATATGATTAGCAAGAGAGAGAGAGAACGAGAGAGAGAGAGAGAGAGAGAGAGAGAGTCAGAGAGAAAGAGAAAGAGAGTGTCTCGAAAAAGTGCAGCCTAAGCAGCGAAAATTCGGAGAAACGAAACGATGTATGATATGACAGAGAGGTAACAAACAGAAAAGTAACAGAATGGACATAAAGAAACATAGAAGAAGAGAACGAAAAACGAAGAGAGACAGAAGGAAAAAAGTAAGATAGGCGAAGAGAGAGAGAGAGAGAGAGAGAGAGAGAGAGAGAGAGAGAGAGAGATAGAGTCAAAGAAAAGTGCGAACACAATGGCAAGCGGGGTTATTTTTGTTGTTCTCTTTTCCAATAAGCTCCTTCAGTCATCCCTCGTTTATTCTATAGAAGCGTTCTTGCGTCCGCGTTGCGTGACTCGTGTCCTTTTCATTGTTACTCGATGATAAAGCCCGTTGACGGAGCCTCGAAGAGAGAGAGTCGGGGACCGAAGATCAGAGCGATAGTGCGCAAGAATCAGAAGCGAGATCACAGAGGTGTGACCGGCCTACTGACACCTCTCGTTTCTGTCCTTTTTCCCTTAACTCACTTCTACTCTACCTTCATTCTTGGAACAAGTTTTCGATATGATCGTACGTTCCATCGCGTAAATGTTATGTATATTTTGATTTTTCTCTCGCTACATATGTACGAATCGTGATTTGATTAGTATTGCAGTTTCTACGACTCGAGGTAACTCTGATCTCTTCTGATAACCTACTCTCAAATTGACTATTCTGGCTGTGAATCGTCAGTTTCATCGCGCGTTTACATTGCGGCAATCGTTACGGTTATGGGTGTTGCGCATTTTCTCTTTTAATTTCTTTCTTAGTATTTTCAAGCGCTGGATGCCTCATAGAACGATTTCGAAGTTGAGATATCAAGTTGGTCCACTTACCGAGTGCATCGGGTGTATTGGATGGTTTCAAGTTCTCGGCTTGTTGCAACGCCTTGGTACGCTCCATAAGAAGGTGTTCTAAACTCTTGCCAGGCTCACCGGTTGGTATCTGCGAAAGGTCGACTGACCTTAGTACATTGATTTCGCGCTTCAGGTCGTCGTAATCCCTCTGCCGTTCCAATTTGCTCTCGATTCTGCTGATGTGTTGCCTGCGCGCTTCGAGTTCCTCTTCGAGCCGCGCCGTTGCCTGCGCGCTTGTCTCCTGAAGGCGCTGCAGGCTCTGCTGCAGTCTAGACACCTCCTCGACCAGTTGGCTGATCTAAAAATAACAATATCATCTTTGTGAGATACATCTGATAGCTTCGCATCCTTCTTCACACCCGCCTCTTCCCCTTCGTAAAATTTACAAATAAGCACAAATGGAGTTGTACGTGTATCATATCGTAAAAAGCTTAAACGTTGGTATTCTCCGAGGCGATATCCCTCGCGCTCGTAATGTTTATTGAACGACAACGGCGATAAAATTCCCCGCGTTAAGGAAGACGTCGTGCGATATAAATCACGGGGAATTGCTACTTCCTGAAATATCGCCGAGTACTCTCGCGAGCATCGCGCTCATCAGGAAATCGACTCGAAACGATTAAATGGAGACGGAACGTAACTACATTATCATCGACGCAAATATAGAATCACATTTACGAGTTTCTCCCTCCTCCACGGCGCGATTCACTTCGGGGCATCGTTTATCTGGGACCGAACCTAGTAAGGAGCTTACCACAGAAGCTCTTTATTAATTTTATCGGGAATATATACGGAAATCAATAGCGGGGACGCTTAGGAGAGGATAACTTTAAATCTTGGCGAGTCTGGATGTAATTACCGCGGATTAAATTAAGTATGGAGTTCAATCGGATCGATAGCATCGGTTGAATTGTCATTCAATTATCGAATCGCTAGTAATTTATGACACGTGTCATCGACCATTCTGTCGCTTCGCCACTCAATCTCGAAAATTCAACGTCACAGCAAACACACACCTCTTCTTGTTAGCGAGATATGTACACGCATTTTCACGCTTGATACAGCCGATTTTATCGATCCTCTTTGGAGAATTTCGCCATGTACAATATCAATCGCATAACCGCTTGGCGGCGGCGGGTGATTCTCTCTGCGCTTAGCGAAGGTAAAAGAACGGCGATCTCTCGCGGAAATAAAAAATCTCGCCGGATGTCAATGACAAAATTACAGAGAAGACTGAAGTATAGTTGACTAGGGCGGAAGAAAGAAGGGAACTCGTGACTTGTACTCATGACGTCGCCCGTAGCGATGCGCACGAGAGAGGCATATCCATCCATCCCCTCATTAATGCGTCATCGATTTGCACATAATAATTACAGCGCGCGCGCGCGCGCACGCGGCGTCTTGTTTTTCCATCCCTATAATAACGAGGACGAGTCCGGGATGTTGGAAGAATCGAGTGGCGCTACCGGCGGCAAAAAATTATCCCGGCGAATAGAGCGTACGGCAATCGTCATGTTGCCACTGTGCCCGCAATCAATCGCGATGAATCGTGAGCACTCGAAACCTATCCACGTGTTCCGCGGGGGTTCACGTGGATGGCTGTGCGCGAGGGAATACAGGGAACGGTAGGCCGCTGCCGCAGGGACGGAAAGAGAAAGCCGATCAAAGAGGGAACGTAGAGTGGGACGATTTTAAAGCCGAATGCGTTCGCACCGTGGCGAGCGCGCGCGAGCGAGCGCGACGCAACGAGCTACGTGAACGAGATCGTATCAATTGTTTTTCCTCGCCGAGGCGTCGTCTCTTTTTTTCCACGCGCCGGGGTTAATTGAGAAGCAGCGACTTCAATTTTGCAAAATTCGCACCTCCGACACGACTGCGACAGCGACATACAGCGCGCTGCTGTCGATGCGCGTGTTTCACGTCTTGCGGCTTTCGCGCGCGCGCGCGCGCGACTCTCGGATCAAATTTATTTCCCCGGTAGAAATTATTGCGCTCTGCCTTGTTACTCGCTGTCCGACGTATTTTGCAGTCGCACCGGCTGATGCGATTGTGGCGGATACGTCGCGTTGGATCGTAGCACGAGCTGACGAAATTAACCACGTTTCTCTGGCGCCTCGTATCGCCCCGTGACTCATCGCAGCGGCGTAAAATCGAAGGTCCTTGACGCGCACGCGGTAAACTTGCACGTTTTTACTCGTTAGTTTATTTATCGGGGACGGCTACCTGTCGATTGTCCTCCGTTTCACTCATAATCGATACGCGTCTACGTCTAGAAGCGTCACTTCTACCTTTTGCGCCTTTGTGTGTGTGTGTGTGTGTGTGTGTGTACACGCGCGCGCGCGCGCGCGGCAATATGTGCAAGTGCGTGTGCGACGATGTCACACGCACATAACGGCACGCAGGTAAGAACCGACACGGGTGTAGATAAGTACGCATTGACGTTCGATGTACCGTCAGGTAGAACGGGTGGTTACTGCCGCGGCGGGGGTGGCTTATGTAAGGATAAGTTTCCGAAGTTGCCGCGATCGCTCGCAATAATGTCCGCCATTAGCGGCGACGGGATAGGTTATCGTCATGAGGGAAAGCCGAAACGAAGGACAGGTGGAATTAACACCATGTCGATCGGCGAACTTGCGATAAATACACCGGCGACTTGCTGATGTTCTCCGTTTTTTCTTTTCACACGACGGCCAATCAACCCCCGCGCTGGGCGTCGTGTTGGGGGAGAGTCTATCGATTCTCACTTTCCATTTCTTTCGTGAGCACTGTTTAACGATGCGGATGAAACCAGTAATCCACGTCGACAACGCAATATGTGACCGTGCGTTTCTTCAACTGGTGAACTGTCGAGCGAAATATGGTAAACAAAATGGGACTCGAAAGCGCGGAATCTGTTTTATGCTTCATGGCGTGGATGGCTGAATTTTTACAAAGAGCAATTCGAACAGCAGATTCCGAGCAATTACGATGACTTATATTTCCTTTTTCATTATCTTTGACATGATTGCACATTTTTTTTCTCGCAATTGGAAAAATTGACAAAAGTTCACGACGACAAGACCGAAGCGTCTAATAATAAGCGTCTTTCTCGATGTGGGATACAATTTATCATTGACACACCATTAGCCGCGTTCGAGCTCTCTCACTGGCCCTCCTTTGCATATTTTTATTGAATATTCAAGAGAGAATATCCGTCTTCCTCTTGTGTACTTTGTATCGCGTTTATTCAACAGCGCACGATTTTTAGATCAAACGTGTCCCATGCGATAAATCTGTTGATCAATCCGATAGAAATACTGCTTGATCCTACAGTGTTGATTGACCGGCAAATTTTCGTACTGGATTATCTTGTAATATCACGCTGCGACATTTTACGATCCGAAGTTACGAACGAATCTGACATGTCACCATCATGACGGCAACGTAGATAACAAAAAGGTTACCGTATCTTCGGCTCACAGTTAGTTCGCTCGGATATCGATGCAATTAGTAAGTATATGTTATTTGGAGATGGCTGCGCGAGGGTCGGCAAACTTCGGTGAAATTTAACATTTCGGGCTAGTCCGTAAAAACCAGGCAGCGTGGTCCCGATTGTGGTCGCGCATCACACTCGCTGTATTGAATTTCGATTCCGCACACGAATTTCGGTCTTGATGCGTCTCGCGAGTAATTTTGTTTCGGCCTGCTGGAAGTGTAATACCGCGTCTCATTGGCTCTCATAGAATTAGATCATTTTACATCTCTCCGTGATAGATTGTCATTGATTAATTAATCTCGGATAGTACATTAATAATCGCATGTTCTCAAAAGCTCCCTGGAGAATCCGACAATTAATTATTTATCACGATAGGTTCTCCACCGAGATGCTATATGGGTGCGCATTTTGACAATCAATCATTTAAACTGTTCATTTCCGGTATTATGGAAAAAGTTGAAAAAAATAGGAAACGTGAAAGAAGTAAGAGCGGAGAATTATCGCCACCGGCGCGGCGCGGCGGTGTGGCAAGGGTTGGCGGATGTTGGCAGGTTTTCTACGTTGGAACAATGTCATCGGTAGAAGGAGAACCCCTCGTTAGCGAGATTCTCGACTGCTGAAGGGCCATACAAAGTCGGTGTGCGCGCACAGGAGACGTACGTGTGGGGTAGTGACCAACGAGCAACCCCCCCCAGAGCACGAAGGCGTCCAATCCGGGTGGCGAAGTGGGGATGAGTTAGAGCAAAAACAATCGGGGCTTGATCGATGGTCGCGAGGTATGGCGACGAGGATGTGAAGGCGAGTCGGAAGACATGATCGGTCGTATGCAAATTAAAGCGAGGACGCCGGGTTCCAAGCTGACTCGGAGGGAAGAACCGGAGGGTGCGAAGTCGAAGGGTGCAGGAGGGTGCGCGCAAGGGCTGCCTGCGCGGTGGTGTCAAGCAAACTTGAAGTAGCCGCACGCGTCCGTATTGTTTCTTGACCATCACACCACCCCACCGTCTCGCCTCCCACTCTCACCCCTTCGCTCTTTCCTTCGTTTCACGTCCCCTACTTTCGCAACTCCCTTAATCCTCCGCGATTTTTGCTATTTGCATTATATAGGCGTCGGAGGCCTTTGTTTGTTGAGCTATTGATCACATTTTCTCCCGTGGTATAATCAATCTTCACGCACACGTCCGCGGGCTTCTCATACTTACGTGTGTATACGCATAAGCTCTCTCTCTCTCTCTCTCTCTCTCTCTCTCTCTCTCCCACCCTTTCTCTTGCTCTCCCTCTCTCTCTCTCTCTCTCTCTCTCTCGCGCGCGCGCGCGCGCGCGCGTACCCTCTCGCACGTGTGCGTGCGAATGTATACATGGACGCGGTGACTCGAGTAACGCGGCTCCCCGATATCCATACACCGTGGCACATTAGAACCCCTTTTCGTATACGTACGTAGATTCGGTACAGGGACAAGATGGCCGTTTGCTTCGTATTAATTTCGTAGCCTGTCCGCCAATGATGCGTCGGTACGAGATCGTCATGGCCGTCGAAGCTCACGTTCTCGCTTTTCGTGGTTTCACGGCTCCCCCTCTCTCCCCCCCCTGCCCCTCACTTCTGTCGTATTATCGTTTCCACGCGAACGACGGGAACGCAAATATAAGTTGTCGTTTACGTTGAGATACTTTGATACCCTTTGATCTACGCCCATTACCTTGATGTGTCATTGACGGGGACAAACGTCGTAAAAATTGGGCTTGAACGGCTCGTTTGTTTGTTCGATTTACTTCTGTCGGATCGTGCGATTCGACTGGGATAGATTTGTCGATAACCATTCTCAACA